GACGATTGAAGAGCACGACATCGCCATCGATCACATGCCTCTCGACGACATCACCGACAGCAAGACCATCCGCAATCATAGCACGATTGCCGAACTTGAGGTACTTCTTGTTCTCTCCTCGCGCAACATAATTCGCGCCGGGATGGACCTCGGTTCCATTACGCACAGCGTCACGCAACTTCTCGATGTTGTGGTTGGTCACGCGTTCCGGGTAGGTGAGCACTTTGGCGACACGTTCTGGAACAGCGACTTCGTCGATTCGGAGATTGGGGTCGGGGGAGATAACAGTGCGGCCAGAAAAGTCGACTCGTTTGCCAGATAAGTTGCCCCGGAAACGGCCCTGTTTTCCTTTCAGTCGTTGAACAAATCCACGTATTGGTTTCGCGTTGGCTTCTTTGTTGAGACCGGGGGTTTCCGAGTTGATGTACAATGCAACCGAGGTTTGCAGGTTGTCCCATGTTTCCTAATATGCTCAGTTCCTGTATTGAGAGACAGAGAGAGATTCACGTACCATGAAGGACTGTGTTGGTGCCCCCTTGGTGACTCCCTGCTTGAGAAGGGCACTTGTGAATACAATTTCAGCAAGTTTGACGGTCAAGTCGTCTTCAGTGGAAGCACCATCTTGGGCAACAGACGGCCGGATGCAGACTGGCGGAACAGACAAGTACTGCCAAAGAAACTGCTCCGGCCGTCCAAACGCAGGTCGAAGACCGAGCAGTTCACAATCCTTAGCTGCAGTTAGTGGCCGGTCAGCAACGGATGGATCACTCACCTCGTCCGATATGCGTTTGAACAGATCCAGGACTTTCAGCGGATTCAAATCCTCAAATATCGGTTTATTCACGTGCACCAAAAGATCCTTCTGGAATTCCACAGCGGTGGCAAAGGTTTTCCTGAACGCCTCCAACTCGGGAGCAGTCTTTTTCGCGCGGAATTTGTCGTGGATGATCTTCAGCGGACCGACTTTCTTCACAGTCCCGTTCGTCGCGGCGCAGTACGGGCAGTGCACGACTTTGCGAGCCATCGTGTTGACTGCTTTGGAGATGGCTTGCCGCTGGATGTTTTCGAGGTTGGGCCGTCGGAATCGTTTGATGTAGACGCGTCGATCGGTTTCGTCAAGCAGCACACGCGCACATGTCTGATTAAGACTTCAGAATGGGACAAAGCGGGGAGCGGACCGAAGAACGACCTTGCAGATGCATTGCAGGACCGCGATGGTGTGCTTGAAGAATCCCACATGGAATACGGGAAGCGTGAGCTTGATGTAGGCGTAGTGTCCGACACAGTTCACAGCCGACTGTCCACAGGTCTCGCAGAACGCGCTCTTGTCTGAAGTACCCTACGCACCGTATTCAGAAATCGCATGGGTCGTGTGGTTTATTGCAACGCACCAGGCGCCGATCTAGAACCCCATCCTTCACCGGCAGTCGCTCCGTCGCAGTGTAAAGATCCCTATGAGTGACTTCGAACTCGGATAACTTGACGGTCTCCTGGGCATCAAGCAAGCTGAATTGCAGCTGTTTGCTGAGCGGGGATCAGAACCTTTTTCTGGTGCAGACGCGGCGGAAACGGACATGATTTTAGGCGCCTGATGAGATACCGCCTCCTTCATCCCCAAAGACGCGCGGCCCGATGGCGGAAGCGGGGGTCTGGAACAGAGTGCGCGACAAAAGATTCGACTGAAGTCACTCGGTAATGATCTGATTATGTAACCGATATTTTTGATTGCCTAGCCCTCTAAGCTTGTCTCTCATTGGCACAATGTTCAGCTCAGTCTCTAGACGTGCATCGCGCGCTCTTCATGTCCCAAGAAGAACTGTGGCTCCAATTCAATCTCCAGAACTACGATGCCGCAAATCTTGTTTTAGATACCTTGAGAGCCGGCGAAGCTATTCGAGTGGTTCGCACGAGCGCAGCGCGATTGGTGTAAGCATCCTCTTGGGACGAATCGCGGGTTGCGTGAAGTTGAACCTGTCACAGGTCTTCACCCCCAAGTCTGCGGCCCTCTTTGTTGTAACGGGTGTTGCCCTCTTACTCTACTTTCGCCACGAGAAGGCGAAACTGCTTGAACAGCAAGGTGTGCTGAACCTGGCAGTCGACAAACCACTCTTACGCGCCTTTCATTAGAAAAGGAACGTTCAAGTCGTGCATACGGCCGTCCATCCGTCGGCGGACCGTTTTCGTTGACCACCCACGAGGGAAAACCATATACAGAACAAGACCTGCTCGGGAAGTGGTCCCTGGTCTACTTTGGGTTCACGAATTGTCCGGACATCTGTCCCGCTGAACTGGACAAGATGGGGCTCTATCTTGAGGCAGCGGGTGCGTCTGCGAACCGACTCATAACGAGACTGGACGTGAATGTTTGTGCACAGAGCAGGAGCATGGCGCTATCTTTAACCCCGTCTTCGTTTCTGTCGATCCTGCAAGAGATTCGACCTCGCGCATTGCTACGTATCTGAAAGATTTTAATTCGAAATTCACGGGCCTCGTCGGGTCGTACGAGGAGGTGAAGGCTATGTGCAAGAAATACCGGGTGTACTTCTCAACGCCGCCGAACGCAAAGCCCGAAGACGACTACCTCGTGGATCACTCGATATTCGTGTACTTGATGGATCCGAACGGGCAGTTTGTCGAGGCATTCGGGCAGACGGTGACGCAAGAGGAAATGTTGCAAAAGACGCGGAACGAGATCAAGGAATGGAAGGCCGAGACAGGGCGGACTCATTGAGTGTGTAGAAGCTGAAGAAACAAATCCCACCTCACGTGCCACTTCGACTGAAAAGTACAAGGGCGACCCGACAGTAAAAGCACAGAATCAAGAGCGGCGCATCGGACACCTTTCCGGCACAAGTAGTGCACCAGTCATTGAATCTGGCCACCTTGTCTGAAAGGAGATCCAGTGCAGATCCAGAATAGGGCGCTCTGCGCTAAATCACTCTTTGTTGCCTGATCAGATCGTTTCACGCCTGAGAGCTGACTATCAAAGGGCACCATATGGGACCTTGCTCGAGGCCACCGTTGTCCTCGAGCTACACAGCCGTGAGATGCTAGAGAACGACAACGAGATTCCCAAATCTGGGCTTCCTAGACCAAGCAGTGCAAGATCACGTCTTCTGTGGGTGCGTGTGGACAGCTTTTTCCCAGGATAAACGCCCGCCGACTCAGAATTGGGCCACAAGGCTGTTTGACGCCGAACAAAGCGCCTTCTTTCAATCTTGACCTTTGCAGCCGTGACTCAATGACCGGCATGTATAAAATTGGGACCGCGGGACCAAGAAGTAACAAAACCCCTCCTGGAAGCCATGGCGATGACACGGCAGTCCCTGGCCGCATACGTCTCCTCTCTCAAACGACAGCTTCCATATCCCGACATCATCGAACACCACGACGACTGCCGCCGCGCTCTGCTCGCGCTCGACCCCAGCGCGACCGACGTAACTCTCGAGTTCTTGTACGATCTGGCCGCACAAAATCCGAAGGAGCGACAGGCGGGACTGAACGCGGTGCAATCCATGCTCTGCGCTATGACAACCGCGGGCGCCGAGCTGCCTGTGACTTCTGTCATTCTGCAGATTCCGCAACCAGACAGTGGGATTGCTCTTGTCCCACCGACACACATCTTGGCTGTCACTTCCACCAAGACTCCGCAAACCAAGGCACAGCCAGTTCCCATCCACGGCGATGTGTTTGCTGCCAGCTGCTCCATGCCCCTTCTTCCTCCCGCTGTCCCGGAGACGGAAGAGTGTCTGCGACTCCCTGTTTGTCCGATTACTGTCCACTCGATCGGGACGTTGCTCGTGCTTCGCGAGTATATGTACACCCTACGATTGGATGTCCTGCTGCAAAGGATCTTCCCTTTGTCTCCTACGCTTCCCATTACCGATGCGGACGTACGCAAGCACGAGACGCTGCCTGACGCACGCAAGGCTGAGCTGGCGCAGCATATACTCACTGCCTATGCGAGTCCAGAGAATCTTATCGTCTTCGCCACCCGCGTGCAGATCATCCGCGAGACTGCGAGCCAGCTCGGAATGTATCACATCACGCTCTGGGTCGCGCTGGATCTCGCCTGGGATCTGGTGCTGTGGTCGCTAGATATAGCGACAGAAACGTGTCCAGTCGCTCAATCGCCACCCATCTCGATGACTTGACCGCTGTACAGATCGTCGCCACTGATTGTCAGAGAGCCAGCGAAAATAGCTGTTCTATGACATGCTGTATTGCTTTGTACTACATGCATTGTATTCCTATTCCTCTCCACCTTGAGTAACGAAATTCCTGAAGCAAAGCTGCTCTTCCGATCTCTCAGATATCTGCCGCACCGAGAAGCCTGTTGGGGGCGAGAAGCTGAGAAGCTGAAGGGCTCAGGCAAGATGAAGATAAGATAACGGGGTTATCCATAATCACTGGACTGTCATTGGTGTCGGTGGCATGCGTGTACTAAAGCAGTTGGATGGATCTTTCCGGGAATGCTTAACATGAGAGCCGTGCTAGATGGAGATCCACATGTTCAGTCGGAAGATCTCATGTCATGAGCTCAGGTGAGATGCTTCCTTGCTGACTGAACCGAAACCCGCCATGGATCCCGTGCAGCCTGCATTGCTAGCCATGCGACGCTCGCAGCTTGGTGCCGCACGGAAGTCCGAAATGCGCAAGAGCTCTCAGCCTTTTGGCGTTGCAGCGAATGGATGATTCTGCTATGTAGATAAGATCGATTTGGCATAGATAACGTGAAGCACCAGGACGCGCCTGCAAATCGAATGAAAAAAGTGGTACCATACCACACCTCATTTTGAAGCGACACAACACCACGTTGCTGCCGTTCATCTCCACTCATTTCCACCCATCTCCTCTCATCCCATTCCCCCTTCGACCTCATCCATGGCTGACAAGGCAGCAAAACGCGCTAAATTCGAAGAGGCATGGACGCGCATCCGGGATGAACTTCTCGCGTACGCGACTGGCGAGGGCATGCCGGCTGAGGCAATCGAGTGGTTTAAGAAGGTACGTAGTTTCCCGTGCTCCCGACTCAGCTTTGGGTCTTCCGGTTTCTTCCATGTCCACCGCGTTGACCCAGGACATACCCCTTAGAATCTGGATTACAATGTCCCCGGTGGTAAACTCAATCGCGGAATGTCCGTCGTGGACACTGCCGAGATCCTCAAGGGCGCCTCGCTTGACGACACGCAGTACTACCAGGCGGCTATTCTTGGATGGGGTGTCGAGCTGGTGCGTTTCTCTTCTGGCATGACGCTTCGCCCTCTCATCATATTGTGCAGCTGCAAGGCTTCTTCCTCGTGTCGGACGATATCATGGACAGCTCCATTACGCGTCGTGGCCAGCCATGTTGGTACCGTGCGCCTGGAATCGGCATGATCGCCATCAACGACTCGTTCATGCTCGAGGGTTCAATATACTATTTGCTCAAGAAGCACTTCCGCAGCGAGCCTTACTATGTTGACCTGCTCGAGCTCTTCCACGACACAACCTTCCAAACGGAGCTTGGCCAGCTGATCGACCTCATCACCGCGCCAGAAGACGATGTGAATCTGGACAGGTTTTCGCTTGAAAAGTGCGTTGTCCTGCCCAGGGCAGAGACTTGTTGAGCATGCGACTAAGCTTGCCCCAGACATAGCCTGATTGTGATCTACAAAACCGCCTACTACTCCTTCTACCTTCCGGTCGCACTAGCAATGTACATGTCCGGAGTGCCGCAGAGCTACACCGTGGAAGGGAAGACGGTCGAACCCTATAAGACGGCACTGTCCATCCTCATCCCGCTCGGAGAATACTTCCAGATCCAAGACGATTTCCTGGACTTTTCAGCACCACCAGAAGTGTTGGGCAAGATCGGCACGGACATCGTCGACAACAAGTGCTCGTGGTGTGTCAACACGGCGCTCAAAGTCGCGACACCCGAGCAGCGGGCTCTGCTGGATGCTAACTACGGACGCAAGGACGCTGCGGCCGAGGCCAAGGTGAAGGCCCTGTACGAGGAGATCGGCATGCGGGAGCGCTATGCGAAGCACGAGGCGGAGGTGTATGGCAAGCTCAACGCGATGATTGACGCGATTCCCGAGAGCTCTGCGCCGGGTACTGTCAAGCGGGCTATCTTCACCAGCTTCCTAGAGAAGATCTACAAGCGGTCTAAGTAGGATAGTAGTTTTGGCATAGAGAATTTGAACCGGAAAGACGACGACGACTGATTGATACGCTCTGCGACCGATCATTGCTTCCCATGCAGCGACCCCTCCGAAAATGTCAGCAGAAAGCATCCGGCTCATTTCTGAGACTATCGTAGAACGCCGGGGCCAGGTAGGGATGTGATTTTAGATCTTCAACTTCTCTTGCAGAAGCACTCCGGCGTACCGCTCGGGTGCTAGAAGTTTCATTGGCTATCGAGAAGGCATCGGGGATCGAAAGCCAAGTGGTGCATTCGTCAGAAAGGAGGAACGGTGTCGAATACAGATTAGAGGGACGATAGCTTACAAAAGGAAGAATGGACCGGTAGAAGCTACGATCCAGCACTTTCTTTCTCCGGCCAGCTGCGCAAGGTACTCCCTGTTGAAGGGCAAGTGGAGTGGGGGAAAGTCCAGTAATCCCCTGAAGAACAAGCCCTCCGCAGTTCGGTCGTTCAGAGGACCAGATGCTAGGGGATACGACCAGTACTCGGGAAAGCTGGTTGACAAGTATAGCGGGGTTCCAGACCGGGCGATGTTGCTTGAAATCGCTGACATCGTGCATGAGAAGCCCTATTATCATGATAAGGCGCAGGACTACCTGAACTAGGGCTGTGATAGGATTGCGTCGAGAAACTAGTAGCGCGGGGTCACCCATGGGCCATGGTCACATTGCCTCCTTATCATACAGCCACTATAGGATGACGTCACTCTTCCCTATAAATATGCTAGCCAGAATAAAGTCCACCAGACTATCCGAGCCTCACCTTCCACATTACGCCGATTCAAAACTATGACCACTCCGTATCCCGGCCAGAAAACTGCTGTCAATGTTGTCCTGGTGCGCAGTCAGGAGGCTCCAAGGTGCAGGCGCCACCACTAATCTACTGTGGGCAGGGCACGATGACTTTCGGGGCACCGGGGACATTCCACGCGCGTGTTACTGATCTCAAAGATGTTGAGGCCATCATCGATGAATTTCTCAGCCGTGGACATCGCGAGGTGTGTTCTCTGCTTTGCTGATGATCGTGTGTGAATGATCACGCGGGCAGCTGGACGCGGCGCGCGTCTACGGCGATGGCACGAACGAAGAGTGGCTTGGGAAAATCGACTGGAAGAGCAAGGGTGTGCTGATGGAGACGAAGCTTTACCCAGTCTCGGTTCGCCACATCGGTCCCCTATGCATATATCTAACGCTGACCGAACTAGCCCGAGACGAACTGTAGCGGGGACCATTCGCCTGCCAGCATTCGCAAATTCTGTCAGATGTCCCTGGACGCTCTCAAGACCGAGTACGTGCTCTTTATCGTGCCCCAGCTGCCATTACTGAGTCAATCAGCTCTATCGAAATGTGGTACCTCCACGGTCCCGATCGTAAGAACCCGTACGAGGAAACACTGCGCGCTGTCAACGAGCTCTACAAGGAGGGCAAGTTCAAGCGGTTTGGGATCAGTAACTACATGGCATGGGAGGTGGCCGAGATTTGTGGCATCTGTGAGCGCAACGGCTGGGTCAAGCCGTCTGTGTATCAGGGCCTCTACAACGCGATCCATCGGGCTGTTGAGCCGGAACTCTTCCCTTGTCTGCGAAAATTCGGGATCGCATTTTACGGATTCAATCCAGTGGGCGGCGGATTCTTCACGGGACGGTACTCGAGCATCGCCGATGAAGTGGAGGATACCTCTCGCTTCCACAGCAGTGAGCGGGTCAGCGCTGTAAGCCAAATCAAACCAACTTGTCTTTGTATTCCGTGTTTAATACTCTTCAGGCTTACCGCAAGCGATACTGGCAGCAAGCTTACTTCGAAGGGTTGAACAAAATATCTGCAGCAGCTGAGAAACATGGTCTCACGATGATCGAAGTCGCCTTGCGCTGGACCATGCACCACTCTCTGATGAAGCGCGAATTCGGCGATGCGGTCCTGATCGGTGCTTCGAGCATCGCCCACATCAAACAGGTGCGGATCTCGCGAAAATCATCTGATCTGTATTTCTGACAGTACGACGCGCTGTAGAACCTGGATGAGTTTGAGAAGGGACCGCTGCGTAAGTGATCAAGATAGCTGTGAGACTGTTGTCTAATTTTTTCTCAGCTGAAGACGTGGTCGAGGCCTTGGACGAGGCTTGGGCTGGTGTGAAGGGCATCGCCACCAACTACTATCACTAGGTTATGGCGAAAAAACCAAACTGGTTCTTGATTGACCGGAGGACACATGACCAGAACCCAGACTTGCGTCTCAAGCTCATGGCACAGCTGCCGATGAGTCTCACAAAACACTCAGTTCGAATAACAATGTACTCTTTTATTCAATCACAAAATGGAGCCAGTCATCGAGGAAATACTATCTGTCGAGTTATTATGCTCTAAGGCGCTTTTCTTTCAGAATTGTAAAACACTGCATTTGTTTGGCCGAATCAATGCCAGGTGTCGTGCGTCACGAATGTTCCGCTAGCCGGAGAGGTGAACTCGTTGTTGTTACCGGATTCCCAGGACTCGAAGTTGCCGTTGACCTTGCGGATGTACTTGTACTGGATGTCGCTCGACGCAGGGAGGTTGACGGTGACTAAATCGCAGTTAGGATGAACAGATCACTGCGCCAATCACGTAGACTCACTGCTCCAGGTCGGGTAGTTCGGATTCGGCATGAGCAGGGCGTTGTTAGTGTTCCAGCCCTGCAACGCGTCCACATTTCCGACGAGATAGATGTTTTCTGTGTGCTGTTCAACACAAGACCCGCGAGATTGTCGCGGACGCTCACCTCCAAAGACGGTAGTCGCGACGACATTGAACGTCACAGCCACAGTGCCAGCAGATCCACCACCGCCACCGCTGCTGCCGCCACTGCCGCTTCCAGAGGTTTGACATACCGATGGGACGCTCAGCCCGGCAGCGCCCCATCCGGGCGAAGCGTTGCCAGCGCGTGCGGAGAACGCCGTGAGGATGGCGGCGTAGCTCCAGGTCAGATCCACTGCGCTGAGGGGGCTGCCGTTCGACCGGCTGTATTGCTCAGCAAGCCCGCCGTTGCTGGGCTGTGGATGACATCAGCGATATGAACAAGTGATTCCGATCGGGTCTTACCGTGTATTTCTGATCGATGGCCAAGAACCCGTCCGCGAATGTCTTGACAGCCGTGGTCAGTGTGGTGAAAGTCGACGTCGAAGATGCGTAACTGCCGGCAGTGACCGAGGGGAGGAACTGCTGGAAGAAGGCGAGAGACGTCGACGTCACGTTCAGCGACCCTTGGGCCTTCCAGACGATCAGAGCATCGTAGAGCTGCTCGGCCACAGCAGCTGTGGTCAAGTACCAGGGCTAGCTCAAATCAGTCAACGGGCCATCGAAAATTGGGGTGCACGGCTCACGTTTCCGCCCATGTACGAATCTTCGGGGTATCGGCCGGTAGCGACTGCTGCGTTCGATGCGATCCCGCTGTTGATGGAGTAGATCGAGCGGAAAGAGTCAACGTAGACTTTCAAGCTCGACAAGGCCTTGTCGGAACACGGCTGGAAGGTGGTGGCATCCTATCTCGAGTGGTAAGCGGAGCGAACGAAGCGACGCCCAAACGACTTACACAGCCAGCAGCGGGATCAAAGGTGTGGATCGAGGCCAATGCGGTGTTGGCATCTTTGCCTGAGCGTCCGCCGCCGGTGTTGGCAGTGATGTACCCGCTGGTTGGGTTCCAGTATGATTGGAGGAAGCACAGCAAGTTGTCCGCCTGCGCCAAGTAGTTGCTGATGACGGCAGTCTGACCGAGAGCCTTGGCCAAAGCTGCACCTTCGCGAAGGGCCCGGTGTTGAACTGCTGTCGTGAAGAAGGATGACGAGTTGACCTCTTCCCAAAGATCGAAACTGGGAGGAGGAGATATATCAGTCCAGATCCCAGCCCCAACGGGACGTATCGGCTCACGTTGTCTGATTCCAGTCAGCAGCCACATAGTCCAAATCAAGCTTGATGATCGGCCACAATGTGCTGAGGACGTTCGACGCGCTCGTGTTTTTGAGCACCCAGTTCGCGTATTCGATGATCGAAGTTGCGCGGAGAGCAGGTCCGTCACGCTGAGGTCTGGATGGAGTTTGGTATCCGCTCGCATCATTTTTCACGAGCTGCATACCTTCCCCAAGCACCGGTGAAAGGCGTCTCGTCGATGTTGTAATGAGGTTCGCCGAGGCCGCCAGTTGATACAGTGCCGCTGGGGTTTGATACTGCTGCAAGATGCTCTCCGCAGACACGAAGTTTTGGATCTGGCCCAGCAATGTGGTGTCTTGTCCCGAAACAAACCTGGAAGACAGTGAGAATCGCTTTGCAGAAGGCGCAAAGTGAAACGCACTGGTCGATGATGTACTTGAACACGAGCGACGAGTCTCGCGTCCAGGTGAACAGATAGTTCGGGTTGGTGGTGCTCGGACTGGCGATCACCACTCCTGCCTAATAAACGTTGAGAAAGGATCGGCGGGAAAAGTGAGACGCGTACCTTAGCGCCTTGGGACTTCGACCCCGAAGGACCGATGTTGGCGAACAACCCAGCCTTGGCGATGGGCGATTCGGTCGCGACATATTGATCGACCGTCGTCTGCGCAAAGACACAGGCCACAAAGCCAACGAGAACGGTAGAGACTCGCATTGGGGACTGAATAAACTGCTCGTCGTTCGAGCTTTAATACTGGCCGTCAGCTGCATCATACGGGCCCCGTGAAAGCAGCGGTCCATGTGCCAGAGCACCACATGATGGGGCTTCGCGCGAATGACGACCTGATACAGTCTCCATTCGCTATTCTGGTGCTCGAAAGGGCTAATTTCTGTCCCCCGGCGTGGCCGAGGTTCGGTGGCACGATGGGCTTCGATGCGAAAAACCACAAGTGGAATTCCCAAACGAGACGCGGAATTCGAGATGGAAGCGCCGAGAGAGCGATGCACAACGTCAACAGACACGTTGGCGCATAATCACACGACAGTCATCCGGTAGGAATCCAACCGGAGATCATGCTACCCAGTAAAAGTCAGCGTCATCTCCCGTGAATCGGAGATGCCCTCCGTGACTAGCGCGGAGGAAGGAGCAAATAGAAAACTTGGCGGAGATGGTTGTGACCATGGCCATAATATTCCTCAACTGGCAAATCTCTGGCCGCACGAGTGCTTTTCTCAGGCCGCGGCTCGCGTTCCAGACCGTACACTTCCAGTTTTGCTTCTTCAGCGCCATTCGGAGTGTGACGAAGAATGGGACCCACACAAAGCGTGTACTTGCAAGTACTTAGCAGGAAACGGTCATTGGCCAGGCGGGAATGTGAGCACGGGGTGGGCGCCTGGATTCTCAGGAACACTAGGATAGATGTGGGGTCGATCGATATCGCCCCGACGTTCGCATGTCATTTTTCGACCAGGGGGTGACCCGCCAGGATAAGTACCAGAAGCTGGCCGCGCTGCAGTGAGGATTGTACATGTTTCCAGTGGATGCATCAGTCAATCCACTATCATGACTTCCCAAAGATTGGAGCAGCAAGGTTATAAATGACAGGAAGGGAGGCAGAGCTGCCACAGAGATGTCTGGGCCGAATTGGATTCGAGCCAGAGACGATAAGTGACTGAATTGGAGATACTGTCCATGGGGTTCAGGTGCTGGCCAGACAGAACCAGACCCTCTGCAAGCGAGGTCATTGACCGGGTCACTGAAGAACACAACTTGTTGATGCCGGCCAGTCGTGCCAGGAATTCAAACTCCGACCCCGCCAATTCCCGTTGTCTCCCGCCATAGATGCAGTCCACTCACATGCTGCGCCCCGTCCTCCGGGCTCAGGCTCAACGCCGATGCCTAGCCACCGCTGCCATGAGCCATGCCTCCTCCTCGTCTGCACCGGCTGCAGAGTCAAAACGCGCCGCTGCGATCCCTCTTTCCAACATAGAAGCCCAGTGGGCACTCCTCACACCGGACGACAAGTCCTCGGTCGCCGACCAGCTTGAGGAGCTGCAGAAGCGTGACTGGAAGCTGCTGAGCTCAGATGAGAAGAAGGCCGGTGCGTGCCAGTTTTTTCTGGGCAAACACGGGTCCTTATGTGTCCAGCGTACTACGTCGCTTTCGGTCCTCATGGTCGCCGCAAGCCTGTCCACGAAAAGGGAGACGGCTTCCAGATCATGTTGGGCACCGCCGGTCTCGTGGGTATCGCTACCGCCATCTTCTTCGCTATCCGTGCCGCCGGTCAGTGGAGCCGAGCACATTTCTGCTTGCACATTTTGACTGAGTTCTTTATTAGCTCCTCCCCTTCCGAAGACGATGTCCAAGGAGTGGCAAGAGGCGATGAACGAGCGTGCTATCGAGCAAAAGATGAACCCCATCACTGGTGCGTGTCTTGTGCATCCCTGCGGTCCGAAGATGTGTTTGCTCAGCCTCTCTCTCCAGGTATCACCTCGGAGGGCTACAAGGGCAAGGGTTTCGTCCAATAGATTACGAGCTAATGCATCTGGCTACATAATCAATCTCATATTCTTCTGGCCACAATCTCCTTGTTCCACTCTGGCATATTCAAAACTACCGCTTATCGCTGCCTACTTCTTTTGAATTCTTCCATCTCAACCTACATTTCTCTCATCTCAGCATCTCAACAAGCACCGGCATTTTGCGCAGGAAGAAAACCTGGTAGGATTGCAGGTGAGTGAATTGACGGCGGTGATAACAACATGCGCATCTGACAAGCCTGGCTTTCCTTCGGCCCCAACAGTTTCGCATTCGCATTTCTGCTACTCCAACCATTTGACTTGGTTCGGATTCCTTCTTCCCAGCGTGGAGCACGATGCCGCCCGAGACCACTGACTATGATGCTACACTTGGCGCTCCAGTGAGATTCTTCCCTTCCACCTTTGCAACGACGAAGGATTTTGGTGTGCTTATCTCCGATCTGACGTCTTCTTGGGCGGACCACATTAAGCCGCGGGCCTTCGGCTGTTCAAGCTCTCGTGGGCTTACTGTAAGTGCATGTGTAAATGACGGAGCTCACGGCGCAGGTCGAGTCACTGGCGGAACAGTGTCCGAGCCAGTGCAGCGGAAGGGGGCCGATCGAATTCGAAGTGCCCACCATGTGTGATCGACCACGCGCATGGGGGGCGGGGGCGTCCAGTGTCCGAGACAGCATAATTGCCAAGGGCGAGGGCAGTTGTTACGCGATTTCGATCTCATACGATACGATGCACCGATCGCGTCCTCGTGAAAAAGTCATCCACGCTGCCTACATCACCTGTTTCCCCAAAACTCGCAAATGGATTGCCAGCCAGACTCATGCGATCACCCCCCCAATTCGACTCTCGTGTCATCTCCCTGTACCATGCAACCGCATAACCAGCACTCTGAACAGGCTAATTTGAGTCGATGCATCCTCCACCCAAGCGACGACGCACTCGAGCAGCAGAAAGATCCATAACCGTGACCTGGTTACCAAACCCCTCAGCCCTGCTTCACGTAGGTACATACCTGCCGAATTGTGCACGGCTTCGCTCCCGAATATATTCGTCGACATCGACACAGCCGCGAATCGACCTCCCGTTGTCCATACGATGTCCAGTGCTTGCATCAGTCTGTCCACTGTGCTCGGACCAAGGAAGTCAACCATGTGGTTCAGTGCCAGCTCGCGTAACGGTAGACCCCGTGTGCTTTTGGGAGGAGGGGAACGTACACACGTACTAGGTTGACGAGAGCATCGACGAGGATGGAAAACATTGTAAGACGAGACTGGATGTCACTTCCGTGTTGATCTCAGCTGGCGCACGCAGAACACGTCTCTGCAGATGTCTTGCAGCCAGCACCATAATCTGATGTCGACCGTCCACAATTGGCGAGACAGGTTTCGACCCAGAACTTGCTTTGTTGAACGAGATGGTGGCGTTCAATTGTTTACGCCGCGAAGCATCCCCGCACGATCGCAATCAAAACCTACCTCGTCGACAATCCCCGAAGCTCAATCCAGACTCCCCGCACTGCAAAAAAGCAACTGGGCTGATGATAATAGCTTCACGTCAGCTGTCCGCCCGATAAGATACAATTAGATTTACTGCCTGCTCGCTCCTCTCCTCTACTCTGCCTTCCCACTGCTCTCTCGCTCGAGCGCCACGACTGCCTGTGTGTCCGGGTGGTTCCACAGAGCTTTCCCCGCCGCCTCCGAAAAGGGGGGCAGCGGCTTGCGAGTTGTGCCGCCGTATCCGTGCAGCTTCTGCAGTAGGAACTTGGTTCCAGCAATGGACGCCTTGGCAATGGTGTAATCGGCGCGGGCGATGATGCCCTGCAAACGCAGGGCCTCGGGGAGAACAGACAAGTCCGTCGTCGCCTTCTCGGACAGATCGAAGAGCTTCTTGATCGCATGCTGTTGGTGTAGAAGGGCGTGTCAGGAATCCCAGATCGGGATGATGGGGCAAGAGACGCGTACGGGTGCTACATTGCCCAGACCGGTGATGGCACCGTGGGCGCTGGCGAATGCCGAGGGAGTGAGGAAATCGATGAAGCCGCCCAAAACGAGGAAAGGTGCCGTGGCAGTCTTCCGTGGATATTTGGACGAGAAGTCGCTCGCGCCTGACACAGCGGAGGCAATTCTGGTCAGCTTGCCGACGTTGCCGCAGCTGGTCCGCGCGTCAGAGAAGACACAACGTGAGGAGTATTTGGATATGGGACGCACGTCAGCTTCACACCGCAGATGTTCGGACAATCTCTGGCCAACTCGACGATGAGATCTGAGTCCAGATCGATACCTCCGCTGGCACCAGGATCTGCTGGGGAGTCAGATGCTAACTTACCTGACGCACGGACGACGCACAGTTGTAGATCATCACGGGAATCGGGCTGGCTTCAGCGACCTCGGCAAAGAAAGCCTTCAGTGCCGCGGGATTGTTGCCCCATGCGCCGGCGAAATATCCAGACGCGATGACAATCGAGTAGTCTGCGCCCGCTGCTGCTGCTTCCTTGGTGAGCTGAATAGTTTCCCGGGTGCTGCACGAACGCGGCGGTCAGCATCGAGGAGGGCACTCTGATCTACACCCACCTCGCAGCACCGGTCCCGACAATCAACGGAACCGTGGTCAGGCCAGCCGCATCGAGGGCCTCACGCGCAGCACGGATGAGGACGACACGTTCCGAGTGCGAGAGATGGATCGCCTCTCCCATAGACCCAGCAATCAGCGGTCCAACGCCAGCAGACGCGATTCGGACAACGTGTGTCTTGAATGTCGGGACATCCAGATCCTCAGAGTCGGGTAGGAAAAACGAGGGGATTGGCGCGAAGATTCCAGCAGAGAGAGGCCGAGTGACCGAGGGGCGCGTTTCACCGAGGTTGGCAGCCATAGCAGAGAGGGAGACAGGGGAGGTCGAGGAGAAGCGAGCGCGAGGGGATATACTTTTAAGTGCAAGGCCTGTCGGCGGTCCGTCTTATCGGTCGGCCCGGCGGCCCGGGAGACCGGAAGTAGCTTTTTGTTAGATTTTTCGCCCAACGACCGCCTAAAGATGCTTCATGTCTGCCATAATCGCATACTGCATCTCTGCGTTCTCCGTTGTCGAAGTTTGTAAAGTCAAGACAATGTCAGATCGGGGAGAGCAGGTGGGAGGAGAAAAGGGCTCGGAAAAGAACAGATGGCTCCAGAATGGCCCCGTCGTACTCGGCGTCCAGGTGTAACATCACGGGAGAGTGGTTTCGGGGTCAGGAGACCGCTGAATAAGCGTGCCCGAGTGACATGAAGTTGAAAGTTGCCGACTTGACAGCTGATTGAAAAACGTTAGACAGTGCACGGATGTGATCGCGGAGTAGCACAGCATTGTCATGTGCGCGGTCTATCCGCCTGCATTTCGGCTGCGACTAGGATCTGCAAACGCAGCATCTTTCGAGCTCGGTCCAATCCACGGAACGGTGGAATTCCAGGGTTGTCCGTCCCTTCCAGCTAGATGTCGCGTGGAGTGCGGTGGAGCGAAAAGTACTGAATGAGGAAATATGCTGTGCTACGGGATTTTCCGCGATCACATCGAAATAATCGTGCACTGTCTAACGTTTTTCAATCAGCTGGAAGCAGGCGGCAGGAAGGAGTGATTTGTGATTGAGCAAACGCCGCGGCGCAGAATCGGTTCGGCAGCTGTGCTGCACGGAGAGTACTGGCATAGAGCAGCATGATGGAGCATTTATGCAGAGTGTGAAGGGTTGCAGAGAGACACTGTATCCGCCGTGCTTGTCCGGGCAAGCCCGTTTGCAGTGTCAGCCTCGGGAGATGGTTCATCAGCACAGGCGTTCTTTCGTCGCAAACGGGAGCCCTAAATCCGATTCAGGACTCCAAGCAAGAGATCGGAGACGTGCGTTGTCTCGGCGATGACGAATCCGGGGAAATGAGATTGGATGGACGTGAGGGAAAATCAGGAAGTGAGGGGACATCGCAAAGACATACCCTTCCGGAGCCTTTTACTGATGCTATTTCTGCACCACAGGATAACTGGAAGACCACGGCGAGCCTACCACTGGCAGGGAGCATCATATATTGAAGATGGAGCTGCCACCCACGAAAGGCCGTCCAAAGCAAGCAAAGCAAAAGACTGATGCTGTCAAGTTCAGTCCACTCTCAACGTCTTACTTATTGCACGATCCACCTTGTGGCTCAAAGAACACGTGTCGATGCGGCTGCGTTCTCAACTTCTTCGATATTTCTACAACATATTAACCTCTGCCTGCAAACGGCGCCCTCGCAGCCCTGGTCCATGCCGTTAGCTCTGGTACAGGAATAGCGAAGAGCAACCGAAACCGACATGATGGTGTAACTCGGCACACAAACATCCTTCGGCAAACCTGCAATGTACACGATCGACGACGCGACGTGCTCGACCGCGAACGTGTCTTCGGGTACGCGCCGTCCGTCCGGCTGGAGCACGCCCTCCTTCATGCGCTCAGTCATAGCCGTCGCTGCGTTCCCTGATATCTTAAATTGAGTGCACGGGGCAAACGCAAGAGCGACGAGCATGCGCACCGATATCGATCTGCGTGCAGGTGATCCCGACCTCGCGGCCGTCGAGGTTGATGCTCTTCGTGAGACCCGTGATGGCGTGCTTCGCTGCCGTGTACGGCGCCGACATGGGCCGGGGTGTGTGTGCGGAAATCGAGCCGTTGTTGATGATCCGACCGCCTGAGGGCGTCTGGTTCTTGAATACGCGCACGGCTTCCCGGGCGCAGAGGAACGAAGCAACGACGTTGATGTTCAGGACGTTCAGGAAGGTCTCTGGTCCGACATTACCGCTCAGTGTGGAGTGGGGAGAGTGAAATGAAGGGCGATGTACCTAGAGACAGGTCCTCGAAGGGGACAGCGGGTGAGCCGACTCCAGCGTTCTGTAATCCGGCATTGCATGAGTGGGTCCAGAAGGGATGGCTCTGCTCACATTGAACAAAACGTCCAGCCTGCCTGAGATAACGAATAAGAGCCTGATCAATCTAATCTGCGGTTGCTGGCCGGACGCACCGAACTTGGCCACCGCGTCCGCGAACATCTGCTTGACAAACACTTCATCCGTGATATCGCCCACCGAAACCAGACACGCGTCGGGCGAGGTGCATAAGGCGACGGTCTCGTTTAACGCGTCCAGCCGACGCGCCGCTAAGACTACATTCCATCCTGCCTTGGACAGCGCGATCGCGCATTCACGGCCGATTCCTTGCTCAGCGTCAGGAAAATAGATGTTTCTAGAGGTCTTAGTACCTGAAGATGCGCCTGTAACAATTGCGGTCTTTGCAGGCATAGTCCAATTCTGAGAACTGGAGGCCCTTCAAGACGACCATATAGTAGTCTGATTGACGGGAATGCGGCCCGAGATCCGATCCGGCAATCGGACCCGCTGGATCACATGACCTATGAGTAGTCCCAAGAAGATCCATCCCATCACTGTTCGAACATGTCCGCTTTGCTCCCGAATGTTTCTTGGTCTAAATCTATGGACTTTGCGTTTGGGATAAGTTCAACTATCGTTCACACATCTGCTCCCAGTTCATGCATCTTGCCACCGGTGGTTTGAATGACTACCCTGTCCTTCTGAATCTATGAAGATGCACTGTCTTTCTCAATATATCATACATACCCAATCGCCACTATGATTGGTGTGAAATAGGTCTGATATGTGTGGAAGTAGTTTGCCTTCCATATGATTTCCTGTCTTCTAGATCTTTCAACGTTGAACTTGAGAAGAATTTATAAGTATAACAAACGAGAGAGCAGCCCTTAATTCTACCCCCCTCAAAAGACCAATTATGTTATCAGTACAAACAATACACGCGTTCTTCAATGCCTATCGGAAAACTCGCTCTTGAAGCTATCAGCACTGCTGGATCCCTGCACAATCTGGACCTCGGACGCAAACCCGGACGGCGGGACAGTGATCGGCTGGATATGAACACTTCCACGCGCGACATGCCGTGACGGAGCAAGCGGTGCAGGCGTTGCTTTGCGGGGTGCCTTCACTCGGCCGACACTCTTGACGCGGACGGGCACCGGAACCTTTGACGCAGTGGCCCAAACCGGTGCCTCGTGATCGGCTTCGGTGTCGTCAACGTCGCCTTCATCCTCACTGGCCAGCCACGAGCTGCTCATGGTCGCAAGATCGGCGACGGGCGGCTTGGCTGTCGCGTCGGATTCTGCCGGGGTCAATTCCGGCGGGGTCCACGCTTTGTGCACAGCCCCGTCGCCTTGCTGCATCATCTGGAGCAACGCAGCCGACGTCCGGGGGTTGGCCTCTGCACTCTTCGGTCCATCCTCCATGTTCACAGGAAGAATCATCGGATACGCCCGACCCTTGCCTTTGGTATCTCCCATTTCATCGTAATAGAATGGATTGGTTGACGTCGAGGCCGTGGTCGCCGACTGCTCGTGCGACATACGAGAGAAGTAGGTCCCACTCTCCGGCCCGGTGGTTGCTCCGCTCATCGCTCGCGAGCGACCAGCAACAGCCGGTGGACTCTCGAAAGCGGGATTACGGACCGGGGGAGAATAGGCGTACGAATCGGTGTCACTTGTTGGAGAGACTGGACTGTCATAGGTGTAGAATGCAGGCTCGGGTGAGTCGGGAACGACTGCGGCGTCGAACGTGCTGCTTGGTTGCGGCTCCGGATACCACGTGCTCGCCCGAGACACCGGAGAACCAGGCACAGCTTCCGTGACGGGTGGACCAGGGAACTGTTCGGCGAGCTTCCGCATCGCAGCCAAAGTGTTTGACGAACGAGTGCTGAATTCCGACATTCCCCGGCGATGGGGAAGTTCTGCAGAGGAGAGCGCTCGTGAGTACTGCGATCCGACTTCAACGTTTCCGCCAGCAACATATTTGGGATAGGTCGTGGGAATCGGCTGCGGAGGATCGAAGGCAAACGAAGGAGCTATGCTCGGGTTGTACTGCGAAGATTGGGCCATAGACATCCAGCTAGGCGACACGGGTCGGGCTTTCACGCTGTCTGCAATAACAGCTGGACTAGGCATGTCGAGATGCGAAAAACGCATCTGCAGCGAAGGCGCGCCCTTGTCGCCAAAATGAACCGTGACTCTTTGCTTGGGAACCTCCAGCGTGTCCCCCGCATGCTGTTGCTTGATCTGCGTGAATTCCGCCATCTTCTGAGAAAAATCACTCCGGGTGGACTCCCGCGCCGAGTATTGCGCGGAGACAGTCCGTCCAACTTCCATCATCTCCGGTTCTGGTTCGACGATCACGGGGTTGGCTCTAGGAGCAGAGTAGAAATCTTCAGCAGTTGGCGAGAGCTGTCGGAATGTGCTGAACCGTGGGTTCGAGATCATCAAGAACCGGGATCTCCTGGGCCGTTTGGCAGCATCAAGTTCCCTGGTGACTTCAGTGAAGTCGTCCAAACGATCAACCCTGTGCGAAAAAGTTGGTTGTTTTGCATTGAGCAGATCCGTGACTAGGACGCACCCTTTCATGATGCCGACGATGAGGATGGCCCGAGCAAGCAAACGCACAATGCGTCTGGTCAGAGCACCACCGAAACCGCCTTGCGCGAATCCGATGACGGTTTCGATGGCTCCGAGCTTGAAGCCCCCCGAAATCCACCCGATTCCCTTCAACGCATGGGCTTCATCGGACGACGTGGTTTCGATGCGGCGCTGGTCGACGAAGGCGCGAACGAGCCGGTAGAAGGCGAAGCAGAAGTTGATGGCTTCGAAGGCAGTGAGCAGCGCGAGTGTGAGGCTGGTGAAGAAAGTCCACAGCTGTTTGTCCCTGTCATTGGCGAAGCCAATTGCCAAGACAGCCGTGCCCTTCTGGAAGATCTGGCCTGTGGTGGGATGAGCAAGGCAACGATGGGTAGCCGGCATATCCTACGCACGGCGCGATATTCCGATAAACGAGGACAGCTCGTTCAAAGCAATAATACCAGGGATCATGAGCAGAAGCAGGACATTAGCGACGCGCTGAGATCTCTTGGGCAGAGCCTCGACGAGTTCCCCGCTTGTGAAAAGATAGACATAAAAGGTGTAAAAGAAAATAGGAAGAAACGAAGTAGCTCCTAAGGAGAGAAGTTAAATTAGGGCTGTCAGAAAAACTCGGCACGCGACGTACCGAGCACGATATCCACAATGCTAAACGTCGACACGCTACCCCGCACAGCGGGAATGGTGTGTGACAACAACTCGAGTAAGGCGAGCGCAAAGAATGACCAGCCCTCCGCCGTCAGAAGAAGGTGCCTCCTGCCCCGACGATCGTCAGTCAGTGCCCCGCATCGCGCCCGACCACGATCCACACGCACCGGCCAGAACCCCGATTCGTGAAAACCAACGCAGTCGAAAAGACAAGCTCCAACGCCGCCGGAATGATGAGCAGCTGGGACTCGAGACTCGTAAAGGATTCGCAACGGAGGATGGTGGCCGACGAAAAACAGAGAGATCCCATTGAACGATATGATGGGGTGCCTCAGATTCGGCCAGGGGGCATCTCAAGGAGCGAGAGAGGACCCTGTCAAAGGAGTGGAATGCAGACTGGCTGCGAGCTACGACCAGCGCCCTTCGAGAAAGAGACAGAGAGAAGAGAGTGATAGGTACCGGTGATTGGAGATGTCGGTCGCAGTTGCTACCATGTCGAGTCTCAAGATCAAAGTCACGATCAAACAGCGTTGCCATCGCTCTGATCGACCATTTGCTTGAGCGCGCGCAGAAAAGAGCAACTTATTTGAAATACAGTGTCGTCAATACATGTTCATAACTATAGATTACCACTATACAGATGCCCGCCAGCTCTGACCATCCTCAGAGCGAATCCAATCAGCCCATGAAACGTCCACTCTCCCCACATGCTCATGTCCAGGAAAACGCCACTCACCCTGATCCCACGCTGAAAGTAGGACACTGTGGTGCAGAGGCCTGATCGACGCTCCTGACGCGTGCTGATACATCCTCTCCCCGAGCTCAAGCCATCGGACTGGTCGCCAGTAGTCTGGCGGACGGGCAAGATCGGACTGCTCGGCAAGCCATTGACGTTCGGTCGGCGTCAGGGACGGTTGACCCGGTGGAATCCAAGCCACGTAGCCTACGCCGTTTGCTGTACAAGTTCCCTTCAGTTTGTGCAAGACGTGACTGGTGCTTGCTGTGGACGGATCATGTGAGCATGAGACGAGAGCACCCCGTGATGGGGAAAAGACGCACCATCTTCATCTACCCTTACGCGTTTGACCGGTCCACCGTCGTGATCGCTTCTTGACCGCTTCCCAGAAGATGATTCCCGCCCGGCATTCTCTTTGCGAGCCCGTGGTCTGGGTCCTCCTCTGAGATATGCGGCATACTCAGCTCTTGTCTGCGATCGGGTCGGTGTCATGGCATTATCCGCATTCTCTGCGTGACGATGAGCATGATGAAACTCGTTACAATGATGCTAGCCTACCTTCCAGGCTTTGCGAGAGCATTGCCTGATGCAACGGTCGCAGTGCAGCGCGTGCGGACTCGACAGCCCCATCACCGATGTCGAGGGTTCCGGACTCTTGAGTCTGCTCAACAACGTCTTCGTGGTCGACTGAAGGGGATCGTCCACAATTGTGGAGGTTGAGTCAGGTGGACTCACTCACCGACATCTGTACCACCTCGAAAGTCACGGGCGATGGTTTGCAGTAGGCTGTCGGTGCAAGATCGGAGAGCCCCGAGATCTATCCCACATTGAGTAAGCGTGCGATGACGTAGAAAACGTGTCTCATACTGCGTAGAGGTCCAAAGAATACACGGTCCATATGCAGTACAGCATCCCAGTAAGTTTGCCATGCACGCTGCTCGTCGTCCGTGAGAGTGCGATCCGGGGGCAGATTCGGATTGCACGCGGAAGCCATATCTGCTCGTGCATTTCTCACGAGTTCATCGTAGTTGTCGCGTGTCAGGGTGCCCCGGGCGAAGGCTTCACGCTCTTCCCGCGTCAATGTCGGTTCCGGCGGAGCTATTGCCATCAGCGTAGTCCTGATACCGTGAAGATAACGTACTTGGTCTCGTATCTTCTGGTTCAGGCTCAACGGCTCGCGCCTTGCCTTTGTCAATTCGCAGAGGACCAGGACTACGCACGTCGTCCTCTAGCTTCACGCGAACCCCGCCCGTCTCAGAAGCATCGGTCCGTCCTTTTAGGACTGCCTGAACAACCTGATCGTAGTCGAATGCATCCGAGGGTCCGACACCGATCTCTGCCCCTCCGACATGATATTGCGGGGAGCCTCCGATGTTGCGGAAGATGATCTGTACATCCTGTGCGAGGTTCTGGAGGGTCGAGATGGGAAAAGGGATGTGAAAGATAGGAGAGCCTCCCGTTGTCTCGAATATAAAGGTCGTCGTACGCGCCATGGCGCGTTCCCTGCTGCGGGATACCCTTGGCGAGCACAAAGGAAAGTAACAAACTGGACAAATCATGTGATCGTCCATGGTGTCACATCACGAGGCCGGTGACCACTCGTGACTACTTACACACAGCCTGGGATCCTACTTAAAAAGGTGATTTATCTTAACTTTATTTTGCAAATATAAAGTTCAAAATAAATGAAGTGAATATGGGACTTTATTGTGACAAAATAAAGTTAAGATAAATCACCTTTTTAAGTAGGATCCCAGGCTTGACATGTCCCTACCATGAGCGTTGGACTTGCCAAGTCGCACCAATTGAGAGGAAAAGCTGTCACCTGTGCCAAGCCTGGAATGAACCGAGGGAATCAATCACACACCTTTCTTTGACTTCACTGCTTGACACCATCTGGCCGAGCATCCATCTTGCCTAGGCGAACGCTCATACCAACGGCGACGGTGAAAGCCGCACTGAGGTGGTGGCTGCGAACGACCAAGCCACCAAAAGCTAATACTCATGTTGATTGTATTTGGACAGCTTGACGACGAATAAAAGTTTTTGAAGCCAATGGCATTCGAGGCTTGAACGTCGACCCATTTGTTATGTCGATGCAACCCCAGAGCAGCTCGAAATCCAATGGCAGGGTAACATTCATGAGCTTATTTTGTTGACAGAGATCTTCTATCCTTTTGGTGCCCGGCTTTCGTGCCGGGCCGGGATGCCGATCTTTCCATCCTCTTAATTACGAGCGAGCACCGCCACTCAGCCACGGTTGACATGACTCACATCGACAATCTGGCCGCCGTTGATCCAATACTTACATCTAGTCCGACCTCCGCCCCAAGTTTCTTTCAAGCCGATACATCTCCGACGAGAATCCACTCTCAGGCCTATGCCGAATCTGCCTGTCCTCCCACAACTCCCGTTCATACTGTGCTCGCTGTGTATAACCGACTGAATGCATCCATGAACGATGCCGTGCCAGTGGTTACCGATGAATACGTTCCGCGTTGCACGGAGCGGCGAGATGACCGGCCTCTTATGCATACCATGTGTCCAAGCGCGCGAGCCATTCAGCCGGACAAAATTAGCGCAACCCTCGTCTCGCACGCTTTGCGAGGAGGTTACTCGGTGCTAAGTCCACCGTTCGGGGTCTATAAATCCGACGTACTGCGGCTCTGGGCACATGGACTCATGTGCTTATCATGGGACTTTGAAGGAAATCAAGCAGTGATGAATGCGTCATGGCCTCCTCCCTCTCCTGCAGTGGCAGACTGTCTAATTCGGGGCCTATCCCAAAAAGATGCAGGTCCAGGATCCTCAAGGATGCGGCCGGCTATCGCGTGTTTTCCCGGCGAATGTCCGTGCCGTTTTGTCAGTTGATCAGTTGCCAGGATGGCGGTGGACTATCTCGTGGGCTCGTGCAGGGGTCGGCAGGGATGGTGGATAATTGTCGGGTTACGTTTCCGCCTCGATGATGGTCCCGCTGGCCATCGAGACGGAGACAGGGTCGATCCTCGGATTTTATTGTGCTCAGGTCCTTAAGAGAGCGGATGCGCAGACTGGAAATCTCAAGCAGCTCCCTCCCGCCTTCTCACTACGATGAAGTATCTCTTGGCACTTGCGTCTCTGGCTGTTGTCATCTCTCCCGCTGCATCGGTGGCCGTCTATGGACAATGCGGTGTGAGTCCGCCTTGATGCGCGCTCCTGACGATGAACTAATCGACTATCTAGGGCATTGGTTTCACCGGATCCACAGTCTGCGATGCAGGGTCGGTGTGTACCGTTGGCAACCCTTGTACGCCTCTCCCAACGATGTTTCTGGCCGGCGCTAACTGATCACGGCTGTCTAGACTACTCGCAGTGTCTGCCTGGAACTGCGCCGCCACCCTCGTCGACAACGTCCGCGGCGGTCACCTCTCCGACGACCCCTACGAGCACAGCGTCCGCACCGGCGAGTTCAGGGTGCTCAGGTGCTACCAAGTTCAAAGTGAGCCGAGATCGCGTGTTTGCTGATCCCTGCTAATGCATCTGCAGTTCTTTGGCGTCAGTGAGTCCGGCGCTGAATTTGGAAGCGGAAAGTGGCCTGGTGTCTACGGGACTGACTACATCTTCCCCGCTCCCAGGTGCGTTCAGTATCATGGGCGATTAATTGTGCATCGGATTGAGAATCTGTCAGCTCGATCGATTACTTCGTGAACAAGGGCTTCAATTTTTCCGGCTGCCGTTCATGCTCGAACGTCTTGTCCCGCCTGCGGGAGGTCTTACGGGTCCCTTTGACCAGACCTATCTGGGTCGTATTCAGTCGGTCGGTCGACCACAACCTCCGGAATACTTCTGAATTCTGACTGGTGCCCGAAGTCTGTGACTTACATCACCGGAAAGGGTGCCCATGTGGCTTTGGACCGTGAGCGCTGATGTGTTTTGATGCTCGATCGAAACTTGACTTGGTGGCAGCACACAACTACATGTTGTACAACAACCAAGCCATCTCGAACACGACACAGTAAGTCGTCCGCTCGCATTGCGTCTCCGCTTCCGCTCATCGGGTCATTCCAGGTTCCAGCAATGCGAGTCTCGGTCTCTCTTTCGGAAGTTGCTTTGACTCACAATTTGTCCTTGCAGTCTGGAAGAACTTGGCCACCGTCTTCAAATCTAACCCCAACGTTATCTTCGATGTGATGAACGAGCCCAACGGGATCCCGGCGTCGACTGCGTTCGCGCTCAACCAGGCTGCGATCTACGGTATACGTTCCAGTGGAGGTGGGCCCAGTCGATGCGCAAAGAGATGAAACGATCCTGATCTATGGCCAGCGACCTCCCAACTCATTCTCGTGGAAGGAACTTGTGAGCTTCGCCTTGCAGTTGTGATGTTGATCGCGTGATTGACTGTTTCCTAGCTTGGACCGGCGCCTGGAGTGAGTCGAGTCACGGCAACCATCTGCTGTTTGCTGATCTGTGCTGATCTGTCCAGCGTGGACCTCTTCCGGCAACTCGGCCGTGTTCGGAAACATCACTGATCCTAACAACAACGTCGCGATCGAGATGCACCAGTACCTCGACAGCGATGGCTCGGGCACCAGCTCGGTCTGTGTGTCCCCGACGATCGGCGCAGAGCGGTTGCAGGTCGCCAGCGCCTGGCTCAAGGCCAACAACCTGAAGGGCTTCCTCGGTGAAATCGGCGCCGGAAACAACACCGCTTGTATATGTGCGTGCTTTTTCGTCAATGACAGCGAAGCATGCAAGTACTGACCACGACCACAGCGGCTGTCAAGGGTGCGATGTGTGCCATGCAGCAGGCGGGCGGCGTCTGGATCGGTGCCTCTTGGTGGGCAGCCGGCCCGTGGTGGGGCGACGTGAGTGTGTTGATCCGCAGGGCTCCCATTCAGGCTGACGGTTTTGCAGTACTTCATGTCCATCGAGCCACCCAGTGGTGGCTCCGTCGCCAGTGTCCTGCCCCAGGCGTTGATGCCTTTCTTGTAGGCTACTATCATTATTCACACACACATGTAGTACAATCCAAACAAAAATCTCATATCACGCATTCAGTTCTGTTCCATATGAACCAAGTGAAATCAATGCGACCCCAGCTAGCGATTAGAACCATAGGCTCTTGCCGTCTTCGCTCAGGGCTGATTATTCAACATCTGCAGCTAGTTGCTAGAATGATGGTTGCTGATACATATATATTAATGATAACTTTATATAGTGTGGGCCTACAATACTTAATTTGAATGGTTGTGCAAGGGGCAGAATAGGATGTGGATTATGATGATGATGCGGAGGATGAAGACCTGGACACAGTGACTGATCCAAACAGATCTTCTGCGCCAATTTTAGACCGCTATAGTTGGGTCAGCGTCGCCACAGCACGAAACGACAACAGAACTGACTGGACTCGAGGAGTCATAGGACTGGGTGCTTGCGCGCCGGCTGTGGCTCCGAGACATGTCGACCATGGGCACGTCGATGAATTCGCGTCCAGTGGGCTGGGGAGGGACAAGCGGGGTGTTGAGCAGCACACGGACGGTGTTGGCCATCGACGAGCGGTACGAGGTCATCTTCGTATGGAGAGCGTTTCAAAAGTCGGCGGGGTGGTTGGGTTGTCTCATGAGGACGCGGGGCCGTTTTAAAAGCAGGTCGGAGAATTGGAGTGGATGACGTCATCGACGGCGTTCTGTGGATGTCATCGTCACCCTCGTAACTCCGCGATACCTGCGTCCGGCCGGAACGGAGATCGTCGGACATTGAAACTGGGAGTCTCTTCAAGTCATGCTCGGATCGGCATGTGGGCCCAGTCGTGTTCTTCAGGTCTGCAGTCGCGCATTGGATGTCATGTGATCGAGAATGATCTGGATCAATCACATCATCATGATGGCACAGGACGTTTACCTGGCATAAACGTCACTAACCTGGCCGCGCGGTCACACAATTTCTAAGCAACTTTTCTTCCTCTTACACATCCCTCCCCGGCGTGCTTTCTCGCGTTACACTGAGCCAGCAGGCTTTCCCCTCCTTTCTGACGTCGCGGGCCCACTACCAGCCATGAATCGGCTCGGTCAGAGCCTCGTTTCAAGTTGGAAGGTCGCGAGTGCAAGCACACGATCCTCCGTCTCGTCGCGCTGGCGGCCTACCCTTGCTAGCTCGAGTCGAGTCACGTTGGAATCGAGACTCTTTTCGTCAGCGCGACCGCTGTCGGCGCAGGCGACTCGCGCTGTTCTGTACCCCCGCTGGATTAATTCGAAAGGACCACGGGACGAGAATGATCCTGCACACCCTGAAGAGGTGGGCTTAGAGGCCCCCGAGGACGATTCGCCCGCGGAGTCATCGTCATCGGGCTCCCTCCCGGACTCTCCTTCGTCCTCAGATTCGCCTCCGTCTTCGTCCGATGGTGACCACTCCGACCAGCCGCCGAAAGCTCCACCGTCACCGACGCCGAGTCAGGGCACTATTGCCAAGCAGTCGGTTCCGGAGAACTACCCACACGTACTGGCCCTTCCCATCGCTCGGCGCCCCCTCTTCCCCGGTTTCTACAAGGCAGTCGTCGTGCGCAACCCCCAGGTTGTTGCAGCTATCAAGGACATGATGAAACGCGGACAACCCTACCTCGGCGCCTTTTTGCTCAAGGACGAGAACACGGACAGCGACGTTATCACGGACATCGATGCAGTGCACCCTGTTGGGGTCTTCGCACAGATCACGAGTGTATTCTCGGCGACCGCGAGGGAGGGCGAGGAACCTGAAGAAGGACTCACGGCTGTTTTGTATCCCCACCGGCGCATCAAGATCACTGAGCTTCTGCAGCCTGGAGTTGAGAAAGTGGAGGTTGTGCCCTCGGACGGCGAATCTGAGGCTGTCGCAGCACCGAGGAAACGACGCTGCCGCTCTCAGGACCGGTTCAGACGTCTTTCCTGCGCAACCATCCGGTTTCTATCGTATCCGTGGAAAACATCCCGACGCTCCCTTTCAATAAAGACGACCAGTATATCCGTGCTTTCATGGCCGAGATCATATCTGTCTTCAAGGACATCGCACAACTGAACCCCATGTTCCGAGACCAGGTCACCAACTTCATGATGAACCAGAGCTCTGCGAGCATCTTCGACGAGCCGGACAAACTGGCTGACTTTGCCGCTGCGGTATCGAGTGGCGAGGTTCGCGAGTTGCAGGACGTTCTGGACAGCCTGGAGGTCACGGATCGGCTGCGGAAGTCGCTCTTGGTTCTCAAGAAAGAGCTCATCAATGCCCAGCTGCAGAGCAAACTCGCGCGCGACGTCGATAGCAAGATCGCCAAGCGCCAGAGAGAGTACTACCTGATGGAACAGTTAAAGGGAATCAAGAAGGAGCTTGGGATGGAGACTGATGGGAAGGATCGGTTGCTGGACAAGTTCCGTGAGCGAGCGGCGGCACTGAAGATGCCTGAGGGTGTGCGTAAAGTGTTCGACGAGGAGCTGAGCAAGCTTGCGACGCTGGAACCTGCCGCGTCCGAGGCCAACGTGACCCGGAACTACTTGGAATGGTTGACCACGGTGCGTTACATGTCTCTTCTTGTACACGACCGGGATCTTGATACTCGCCGCAGATCCCTTGGGGCCAGCATTCGCCGGAAAACTTCTCCATCGGACACGCGCAGACTGTTCTCGATGCGGACCACTACGGACTGAAAGACGTCAAGGACCGCATTCTCGAGTTCCTCGCTGTTGGGAAGCTTCGAGGTACAGTTCAGGGCAAGATCGTCTGCCTCGTCGGGCCGCCTGGTGTCGGAAAGACGTCCATTGGCAAGTCGATTGCTCGTGCGCTCAACCGGCAATTCTTCCGGTTTTCGGTGGGTGGATTGACGGATGTTGCTGAGATCAAAGGTCACCGGCGGACCTATGTTGGGTGCGTGGTGCTCTATATCTAAGTGAAGGCTTCTGATTGGGTTTGTAGCGCGCTACCTGGCAAGATCATCCAGGCGCTCAAACGCGTCGGTACTGAGAATCCGCTTGTGCTGATCGATGAGGTTGACAAGATCGGTCGCGGCCATAATGGGGATCCGTCGAGTGCGCTGCTGGAGATGCTGGACCCGGAGCAGAACAACGCTTTCATGGATCACTAGTGAGTGGTGGCCTGTGTTGTGTGCTCTCACATGCCGATTGTTTTTCTAGCATGGACGTCCCTGTTGACCTGTCGCGCGTTCTGTTTGTCTGCACGGCGAACACTCTCGACACGATTCCCGCACCGCTGCTCGATCGTATGGAAGTTCTGGAGGTGTCTGGCTACGTTTCGGAGGAAAAGGCGCAGATTGCGAACCGTTACCTCGGTCCCCAGGCGAAGGACGCGTCTGGGCTGAAGGAAGCGGATGTGCTGATCGACGAGAAGGCGGTCGACATGCTGATCAAGTACTATTGTCGGGAGAGTGGGGTGAGAAATCTCAAGAAGCATATTGAGAAGGTGAGGAGTCCGTCGTTGGCAAGGCGAACACATTTGTCTGACTCGGTTAGATCTACCGCAAAGCTGCTTTGAAGCTCGTCAAGGATTTGGGCGAAGATGTGTTCCCAGAACCGGTCGTGACTGCCTCCAACACTGTTGAATCTCAAGACCCACCGCCGGCGAACCCCACCGAGGCGGAGAGCGGCGAGTCTGAGAAGCCGGTGACGACTGTCGAGCGTAAACCGCTTCCCATTCCGGAATCGGTGCACCTGCGCATCACACCCGAGAATCTGAAGGACTACGTGGGCCCACCCGTGTACCAGAAGGACCGGATGTATGTGCATGCGTCGCCGCCGGGAGTCAGCACTGGTCTCGGCTATCTCGGCAACGGGTCTGGTGCGATCATGCCCATCGAAGCTATCGTGCGTGTTTCGTCTGGCTGATGTTTGTATGCGATGCTGAACACTACCAGAGCATGCCAGGTAAAGGCGGCCTGCAGCTGACCGGCAAACTGGGCGAGGTGATCCGCGAGAGTGCGCACATCAGTCTGAGCTGGGTGAAAAGTCACGCCGTCGAGCTCGGGATCACTTCTGCTGAAGGGGAGACGTTCCTGGACTCCCGGGACATCCACGTGCACATGCCCGAAGGCAGCATTGGCAAGGAAGGACCGAGTGCCGGGACGGCGCTACTGTCTGCGTTTGTCTCGTTGTTCACCAAAACACCGATCAATCCTGACATTGGTGAGTCCTTTTGATGCGTGCATTCGAATTCAGTTACGAACGTCCGCAGCCATGACCGGTGAAATCTCTCTGGTGGGTCAGGTACTTCCTGTAGGCGGTCTGAAGGAGAAGATTCTCGCCGCACACCGCGCTGGAATCAAGACCATCCTCGCGCCTGCCGCCAACCGCGCCGACATCGAGGAGAACGTGCCCGATAGCGTCAAGGAGGGCATCCGGTTCGTCTATGTCGAAGATGTGCGCGAGGTGCTGCACGAGGTGTTCCGCGGTGAGCCGATTGCCGAGCGGTGGAAGGAGACGTTGCCTCTGCCTGAGAATTGACGTAGAGTATATGCATGTGTATCATACAGTAAGTAAGTAGCCCCACTCAAATGTATCTTTTCTGCGAATAGACACAGACTCACAAGGACGTGAGATAAGTCTTTGGCGAACGTAGAGCCACGAAAGTTTCTTGCTGTGGAGCCCCGTACCAAAGCACCCCTCGAGTCGAGACTCGCAGTCCAACTTGAAGATTACAACATTTCGATTGCCTCAAAGTAGAAAAAACATCACGGTGATGGCCGATCCTCAGGCTTTTTTTCTAAACCTCTCCCCCATCACTACCCCGTCCGCTCGGTGTCTCTCCCTCCTTCCTCTCGTCCGTCCCTCGAGAGGACCGTTTATTTGGCGGTATGGCTTCGTCTTTGTGGTCGCGTTCGGTCGCGGGCTGCATAGCGTCGACGTCGCGGGCATTCTCATGTGAGTTTTCATGGCAATAGAGAGCACTGTGCGCTGGGACTGAGTCGCAGTGTCCTGTCACTCTCTCATGCGCAGAATGAATCTTTGACACGAAGCTGAGACACTCCCTAGCTCGTGCACACGTGTCGGTGTCGCACACCCTCCGCTACAAAAGGTCGTATGCCGTATTGGCAGCAGAACGTGAGTGACGCCTCCGAACTACGAACTCAGAACTCCATCTCACACTCCGCTCTTCCGCTCCGCTGCAGCAAAAACCGACATTCAACCCAAAGCGCATTCCTTCGATTCTTTAAGAGGCAAAATCTCGAAAGGAACTTTGGATGCCATCACCCGAAACCCCATGAAGCTGGAGACGATGTCGTCTGTCCAATCCGAGGTCCTCCCCCTCCTTCCCGAAATCGCAGAGCCGTATCACCCCGATAGCAAGGTCGTGCGCGACCTCCTCGTGCGCGCGAAAACCGGCACAGGCAAAACACTGGCTTTCCTCGTGCCGGCCATTGAGGCTCGGCTGAAAAGCATTGAGGAATACGTCTCGGGAAACACGGATACCGGCAGTGTTGACTTGGCTCGGACACGGTTTGCGCGACGGACGGTGGGGACGCTGGTGATCAGCCCTACGCGCGAGTTGGCGACGCAGATTGCGTCGGAAGCGCTCAAGCTGACCACTCACCATGATGGCTTCGGAGTCCAGTTGTTTGTCGGTGGGAACAGCAAGAGGATGCAGATGCGCGACTGGATGAAGGGCCGGAAGGACATTGTTGTCGCCACCCCGGGTCGTTTGCGGGATCTTCTCGAGTCGGAACCGGACGTACGCAACGCTATCGCAGAAACGAACATTGTGAGTTGACGAATCCAGGTATATTCCTGTGCTTCCACTGACGTTCGCGCTTAGCTCATTCTCGATGAAGCCGACACATTGTTGGAGATGGGTTTCCGGGAAGACATCGAGGACATCAAGCGGTTCCTGCCCCCGACGCCGCAGCGTCAGACGCTGTTGTTTTCTGCGACAGTGTCGAAGCAGATTCAGCAAGTCGCGCGTTCGTCTTTGGCAGAAGATCACCGGTTCATCAACTGCGTCTCGGAGGAAGCGTCCCCAGTTCATGCCCACATTTCTCAATATCACACTGTGCTGCCGAGCGCTGAGGCCCAGATTCCGCACATCCTGCGTCTCCTTGCACAGGATCAGCTGACAAACGGGGCCAATTCGAAAGTCATTCTGTTCTTGCCGACCACCAAGATGACACAGCTTTTCACGACGATCGTCAAGACTCTCAGCGCCACTACTCTCCCTGCATCTCGCAACCTGCGCGTCTTTGAGATCCACAGCAAGCGGGCTCAGGAGTCGCGTGACAAAGCGTCTCAGGGCTTCCGTCAGTGCAAGACCGCGTCAGTGCTCGTCACGTCGGATGTATCGGCACGAGGCGTGGACTATCCTGGTGTGACACGGGTCATCCAAGTTGGTATCCCTGGCGGTCGCGAGCAGTACATCCACCGTGTTGGTCGGACTGGCAGAGGAGGAAGCACTGAGGGTCGCGGCGACTTGGTTCTTCTCCCTTGGGAAATCGGCTTCGTCACATGGCAGCTCACCGATATTCCGTTGAAGCCTCTGACGACGAGCGAATTGGTGGACGATGTGACTGCCCTTGCTGCCGAGCACGACCAAAAGCCATCCACTGGGGGCAGGAGCGGCTCGGCGCACCCCGTCGCGCCAATGCTTGACGACATAGAACGCACCATCCAGACCTTCCTGCCACGGTTGAACGAGGAGGCGATCAAGGAAACCTTCATGTCGCTCATCGGATACTATCTGGCCAAGGGCCCCGAACTGCGTGTCGCGAAATCGGTGCTCTTGCAGGGCTGCCAGGACTGGTCGACCGGTGCCTGCGGGCTGTCCGTCCCCCCCTACGTCTCCGTGGGCTTCCTCCAAAAGCTGGGTCTGGACGACGGGCGCACGAAACGATTCGGCAGGGCTCGCGACGACTCTCGGGACCGGCGCAGCCATGACGGGCCGCACTGGGCGGGACGCGGGTCTACCGGCGGCAGATACCGAAGCAGGGACGATTCGTTCGGCCAGCTCCAGGATGCGGTTGACCCGTCGGAGCAGCACCTCGACCCGAGGGAGTACCGGAGCGAACGGTACAAGGCCACCGGCAACGGCTACCGCGGCCAATCCCACGGCCAGTCCTCCTCGGAGTTCCGCGGTGGATTCGGCGGTCGCAAGTCCATGGGCGGCGAGTTTGGCACGGGCGTTGGCTACAAGGGCGGTCCCCGCGGTGTCGACTTTGAAGGCGGGAGAGGCTACGGCAACAGGAGTGAGGGCGGCCGGCGCTACGGAGACAGGAACGATGGTCGAAGCAGCTATGGCTCGAGGGACCGCGGCAGCCGCGGTGGCTTTGGTGGAGATCGTGAAAATTCTGGTCGAGGACGTCGCGACTCACGGCGACAGGATTTTTAGTCGCGCTGTTTTGCATGTTTAACATATGTATCATTATCCCCTACCGCTTTAGAATAGATAATATAATGCAGCATCTTCGAGACGTTGACAGCCATGGACAGCCGCATGTTCTCCAGAGAGTTCCATGAGGGCCTAGTACAATCATATGTGTGGTCGGTCACCAGACTGCAGAGATCACCAGTGTGCGTTGTGACATGTTATCTTCATCTCACCAACTTCACCTGCAGCCTTGGTATGATGAATCCCTACCACTTTGATTCTCGTCCATCCTTCGCGCGCGTGAACGTCCGTGCCGTCATCCGCTTCGACGGGAAAGTTCTGAACTACATCACTTGAAGATGTTATGAGACGGGAAGCAGGTCATCCCCTGGTCACAAGATGTGGCACCAGTGGTACTCGCCTCGAGGACGGCAGCTGAACACCCAGTCCTCCTTCCCTCCGACATGTTACTGCTAGGAGGCATCTTCCTAGCTCTTGTCTGCGGCGTGTATGCTGGGACGAATGTCAGCCCCGCAGTCCTTGATGCGTGTCCGGGGTACGATGTGAGCAAGGTAACGGTCCAGGGAGGGACGATGAAGGCGCAGTTGAAGCTCGCCGGCAAGGCGTGCAACGTCTTTGGGACCGACATAGATGCGCTCACGTTGGAGGTCGTCTACGAGACCGGTCGGTCGATTCTGGTCCTCTTGCTAGTCAGTAGATCATGCTGAGCCCATGCGTTCCAGCCGACAGGATCCACGTCAAAATCACCGATCCAGCACATACGAGATACGAAGTCCCCGAAAGCGTTCTTCCCCGTCCGTCCAGCGCCCATCCTGTCTCGCCCAAAACAGCCGCGATCGTGTTCAACTACACGACCTCTCCGTTCACCTTTTCTATCCTGCGCCAGTCGACGAAAGAAGTTCTCTTCTCGACAGCTTCCCATCCGATCATCTATGAGCCGCAGTATCTTCGACTGAAAACAACATTGCCTGCCAGTGCCAACATCTACGGCCTGGGCGAGCACACCAACCCGTTCCGCCTCAACCCGGACAATACGACGATCACGCTCTGGTCCCGAGATGCCTATGGTGTCCCCACTGGCACGAATCTGTACGGGAACCACCCGGTCTATTTCGAGCACCGTAAAACCGGCTCGCACGGAGTGTTCCTGCTCAACTCGAACGGAATGGACGTCAAGCTCACGCCTGGGGCTCTGGAGTACAATGTGATCGGCGGTGTTCTGGACATGTACTTTTTGGCAGGCAGCGAGACAGATCCGAGTGCCGTGGCTGAGCAGTATGCGCAAGTGGTGGGCTTGCCTGCCGAGGTGCCGTATTGGTCGTTTGGGCTGCACCAATGTCGCTTTGGGTATCAGAGTGAGCTGCTCCCGCGCTGGTCGATCGCTGAACGAATGACTTTGCAGACTACATCGATGTTGCTGGTGTCATCAGCAACTATTCCAATGCAAAGATCCCACTGGAGACCATGTGGACGGACATCGACTACATGGACCGGCGACGGATCTTCACTGTTGACCCGGATTACTTCCCTCTCAATCGCATGCGCCAGATCGTCGACTATCTGCACACTCACAATCAGCGCTTTGGTGTGTGGTCAAGTCCTTCCATCGTGTCTCGTTAGTGCTCAAGCTAATCCCAGTGCTCATGACCGATCCTGCGGTGGGATACCTGCCGGGTCAAAAATATGGGCCGTACGATCGGGGAACTACGGCGGACATCTGGCTGAAGAACTCCAACGGGAGCCAGCATCTCGGCCTGGTCTGGCCTGGTGTTACCGTATATCCAGGTCAGGCTTTCTCTAGGTGTTTGGTAGCGTCACTCACGCCGTCCCTTCAGATTGGTTCAATCCAAATATCCAAAAGTGCGCCGCGATTCCATCCACAGAGCTGACCGACAGCTGAATTCGACACAGGTATTGGTCGAACGAGTTCTCCCTCTTCTATAGCCCGCGCACTGGACTTGATATTGACGGGGCGTGGATTGACATGAACGAGCCATCGAGTGTAAGTGCCTTGCACTCCTCTCTTGCCGACAGGTCTGATCCTGGGATAGTTCTGCGACATCCCTTGCGACGATCCGTTTCAGCAAGCCATCCAACAAGATCTGCCTCCCGCTCGGACGAGCCCGCCCCCTGATCCCAACACGCCCATATTCGTCGAGACTTTGACGAAACGAGATGGCAATCTGCTCGTACCGCAGTACGCGATCAACAACGCTGCGCCGGGAGGCAATCTCTCCAGCAAAACAGCCTATGTGCGTGTGTTCTTATGTCCTGGATCGCACTTCTTTATCTGAGCACACAACAGGTGAATACGGTGCACGCCAATAACTTGACCGAATACGACACCCACAATCTGTATGGCACGATGATGTCCGTGGCAACGCACCAGGCAATGCTCGATCGCCGCCCTGGCCTTCGGACCCTTGTGATCACGCGATCCACGTTTGCGGGTGCTGGCAAACACGTCGGAAAGTGGCTGGGGGATAACTTCAGCACTTGGGATCACTATCGGCTGTCCATTGCTGGCATGCTGGGCATGGCGACCGTCTATCAGGTCCCGATGGTGGGCAGCGACATCTGCGGCTACGGTAGGTCTGCGCTGTTGTTCGTGGGCTACGCCGACTGATTTTCAACAGCACAGAATACGACAGAGACTTTGTGTGCCAGATGGGGGATGTTGGGTGCATTCTATCCTTTCATGCGCAATGTGAGTAGCAATTCCGGGCGAGTCATGTTGATTTTCACCACGTTTCAGCATAATGCAGATACGGCCATCAGTCAAGAGTTTTATCGTTGGCCCCTGACGACTCAGGCAGCTCAGAATGCGCTCGATATGAGGTGTGTTTTGCTGCTGTTCATACCCGCGCCAAAATGTCACAACGCGCCAGATACCGCTTGATGGATTACTTCTACACTGCTTTCCACACAGCGAGTCTCAAAGGCACGCCGGTCGTCAGTCCCCTTTGGTTCAAATATCCCAAGGACGCCACGACCTATCCGATTGACCTGCAGTGGTTCTTCGGAGACGCCATCCTCGTCTCGCCCGTGACCGAGGAGAACTCGACCTCCGTCTCGATCTACCTCCCCAAAGATGTCTTCTACGACTTCCAGACGCTCGCGCCGGTGCATGGCGCCGGCGCGTTCGAGCAACTGCACAACGTCTCGTTCACACAGATCCCCGTGCACATCAGGGGCGGCACGATCCTCCCCCTCCGCGTCAAGGGCGCGATGACCACAGCTGAACTCCGCCGCACGGACTTTGAGATCGTCGTTGCTCCCAGCGGGGGCGGGACCGCGAGCGGGGCGCTGTACTTTGACGACGGGGTGTCCGTCACTCAGCCGAAGCAGACGCTGATTGCGATGTCGTATGCGGAGGCCAAACTGGTCGTTTCTGGCTCATTTGGGCTCCCGCTCGGTGTGCACATTGCCCGCGTCAGGTTCCTTGGTGTGCAGAAACAGCCGGACTCCGTCGTCCTCAACGGCAAGGCTGTAAGACACACGTACGACGGCTCGAATCAAGTTCTGGAGGCCCAGCTTGGGGAGCCTTTCACTGCCGGCTTTACTGTTCAATTCAGTTAGGGAGATAACGAATTAACCATTCGCAGCAGTGTATTCTTACTGTCTATAATGTGTCAAACTTTCCGTTAAACCACGCAATCCAGTTTGGAAGACCACAAGAAAGCTTCATTCTCCATTGATTGCCGACAAAAACGCGTAGTATACAGGCCGAGTTTACACAGATGTTACAATTGTTCTGGCTACAGACTCAAATCGGTCGACTTCACAAATCGAAAGCTTGACTCTTCCATCCCTTCGACTTCTTCTCTTCGGTGACTTTGCGTTCGACTGTGCGCTGGAACGACCGCACTTGCTTCTTGCCGTCATCAACGAGACCCTCGACGTGTTTCTTGACATCCTTCGCTCCTTCCTTCGCCGCATTCTTCGCGTCCTGCGCATCTCCACCGACTTCACCTTTAAGAGCGTTGACTGCATCACCTGCCCGCTTGTCCAGACTCTCGGATGCGGTGCCGACAGGTCCGCGTTTCTCGCCGCTCAAGACTTGAGGCTCAGCGCCGATGGCGAACTTGGCTTGGCCTGCATCGTCTTCGATAACCAGCCCAGTTCCCGTCGCCCGCCAGCCGTAGCTTTGTCCCTTCGTCAGGCGGCCGATTTCAGACCACACTGCAGCCATCAGAGATGAGCCCGGTCCGAGTCCAGCATCCGAAAATACTTCAGAACGACGGCCGGTATCATAAGCCACAGCGTCGAGCCAGGTGATTGCGGCACGGAACTGCTCGGAAAGGGTCTTGCCGAGAGCATCGCGGAAGCGCATGTTGAATATGGGTTTGAAGACAGTGAGGACGATGGGATGATTACTCTCTCGGACTGTGAGCTCGACGTCGTCCGAGATATTGACAGTGAGGCTCTCGATTTGGTTGAATGCGCGACGCGACTCGCGTTCCTTGGCAGACGGGATGAGCCGAATCTTCAAGTCGATGTCGATACCCTGTGGAGGCATCTTGAGCTCGAGCAAGCCCGTGTGCTCGCTGGGTGGGAACGTCGCCGTTTTGTCATTGTAGTAGAAGGAAACATCCTTGAGAGCCAGCTGAACAGCTTGGAGACGGATGTGTGTGTATGTTCCAACGCCGGCCGTGGTTGCTGCCGCGTTCTCACTCGTTCGCACGTCAATATCGGTGATATTGCGGATAAAGATGTGAGCGGGGTTGAGGGACAAGGTGGAGATGTCCAGATTCTCGAGAACGAGCTCAACATCCTTATCTGCGTACTCCGTTCGCGGAATAGGTAGATCTTTGAGCATAGAGAGCATACGCTGGACGGACAATGTCAGTCAAGGGAATATTCCATCGAAGAGTCAAACGCACCGGGGCGTAAACAGCAAACAAATCATGCCAGAACCAAGACACCTTTTCTAAGACAGCCTGTACGCCAGTCTCGGCCTTGTCACCGGCTTCAACCAGCCCACGCTCGATATCGGCACCAAGGCGGCTGTGAACATCTCGCAACTTTTCAATGTCTTTGTCTGAGGTGAGAGCTTTTCCGAAAGTCTGCACGGACTGTTTGAATTCAGTCCAAGCGTGACCGGCTTCCGTGTCCGCATCGAGCAGCTCACGCCACTGCTTGCGCAGCTGACGCCGTAAATCCTTGGCTTCGTCCGAATTTGGATAATCTGCATCATCCAACGACTTGTGAGCGTGAGCCAAGAATTTGTCGAGCCAGTCTTTGACCTCGACTGAGTCCCCGCGGACCGCAGAGATAAAGAGTTGACCCTTTCCGAGCACGTCATCGACAGAAATCTCGTGAGAGACAAAGCGATCGATGAATGTCTTTATCGCGCCGAGAGCCTTGTGCAGGTGTTGTTCAGAAGACGTATCTTCAACCAGATCGTCAAGCGTGAAAGGCTTGCTTGAGTCGAATGCCTTGGATATCCACTTGTGTATGGTATCGAAAAGGTTGGAGAGAGAATCATGATATTCCCGATCATTCTGGGCTCGTTGGCAAGCCTGATGGTAGCGTCAGCTACTGCGCGAATGTGAAGAAAGAACCAAACATTTTGATACGCTTTCTGCAAACGGGAGGAGGTGCGTTCGGACACGTCCTGCGTCTTCTCGACGGCGGTTTGTCCGGCACCAATCAGTCCCGATCCTGCATCCTTGAGCGTGTCCATACCGTGCTCGAAGGCAACACGGACATCCTTCTCCTCCTCAACCCGCTGTTTGTCTCGGCCCAAGTTGTCACGCTTTCCTTCCTGAACATCATCCTCGACTTGCCGAAGTCCTTCCTTCGCACGTCCAGCACCTTGCTCGACGGCCTCCGCCGCATCGGCAAGCGCGAGACGCGCGAAAGACGCGAAGTCATTGAAGAGAAAACTGCCCTCTGAGGCGATGCTCTGCCATACGATGGCTAGAATGGAGCGGAGCGAGTCGCTGACGGCTTTTGCGTCCGAGGAGACTTCCTTCGTGTCGACGACATCGTCGGCGGATGAGACCAAGACCTCTGCATCGCCTTGTGAGAGATGCCACAGCGCTTCCTGCAGCACGTTATCCTCTTCACGTCGTTCGTCAGCTGTGTGCACACATGACTAGGAGTCGGAGCGCGCACTGTTTTTGTGATCATTGAGCGCTTTGTAGGCCTCCAGGATGTTGCGGACGTCATTCGCCAGTACACGGCCCTGTCCGCTCAATGCATCCGCTACAGGCTGCACGGCAGGAACCACACTTGTTAACAACCAATCGAGGAACTGGTTCACTTGGTCCGTCGTGGGCAATTTGCCTGCTTCAAACGCTGCAGTGATTGACGCTGCTTTGTCCATTGTACTTCGGATTGGAGCTTGTCGTGAATGGATGGTCGTGAACTCGAGTCGTAAGAATTGTAGGGCCGCTCGTCATTTGTACGCCCTATATATGCGGGGAAGCGACTTACATTACATAGGGGCAGCGGAAGATGACCCCAGTTATGACGCGTCAATGGCAGGGACAGTGCACGTGATGAGCCTAGCTGATAATTACAAGTTTCTGCCTTCACAAGTTCCGATCCGAACGTTGAGCTTTAGCGCTTCAACTTGGACTCATCCTGATTCAAAGCGATCCATTGCTAGTTCCCCATTCATTGCAGTCTATGCGAGCCAGCTGGTTGGGTTTCCGGCTAGGTTCCGCCCGTACACAACTCGCAACTTCCATCCGATGCAAGATCAGAGGGCCTCGAACCCTCCTGGATCACGGGCGCCGAGCGCCGCATTTTTGCTCGATTGGGCTGATGGGCGTTGAGTATTTGATCCCTGAGTCTATCCTCGAGGTTGGGTCTCCACCTCCTCCGTTCTTTTGACTCCTACTTCGCTCTGAAAGTAATGCATCTCGGAGATCTTGAAACTTGACCCGGTTGATCAAGCGATGACGTTTTCGACAAGGCCGCTCCGTTGCATGCCCGGTTCGGACGAAGCCGGACAGCGGGTCTAGGTTGGAAATCTCAGGCCTTGTGGCCGTTTTATAGTCGCACGAACCTCCTTCGCAGATCTTCCGTGTTCTCTCCTCTCCCTGAGCAAGAGATTACCAAGGGACCCTGTGGCGCGCGGTGCGAAGCTCGCAGGCAACATTCCGGTTGTAAAGGCTGGATCCCGCCGAGAATATTCATGGAGCATCACAGACTCGGTCACTCCATCTCTTCTCCTGGCCTTTACACTGCTATACCCAACGCCGCCCATCTTGCTCCTGGCCCATACCAGTCTTACCACTCTGCTAGCGCGCGTACCTCCATGACCAAAGTCGACCTCGAGCCGATTGATATGGATGCTGTCGTTCCTTCATTACAGGGGAATGACTCAGGGGAGACACCACCAACGAACGACGACGGTGTCCTTGCTTCGTCGTCCTCAGTCCCATCTCCCCCTCCGCCTTCTCCACCACCAATACCCCAGATGCCCCAAACATGGCTCACCTTTTTGCTTGTGTCAGGCGACCGGCGCATGATGAATTTCGAGCCGGAAACGACGGTGGGAAGGGTGAAGGAACTGGTTTGGAGTGCCTGGTCCAGTGGTGCGTGCTACTTGTCGCCTGTCCGGTCATCAGCCATGAATTCCGCCCCCTTTAGACTGGCAAGAGCGCCCCCCTGCGCCAACCTATCTGCGCATCCTATATCTTGGGAAAGTTCTCCAAGACGACGACACTCTCACCAGTGCGTTCTTTTCGCTGGTCGCGTTGCTATTCTCTCGCGGACATTGACATGAATCAGAAATTGGATTCCCTTCATTTCCCCTTCCCTCGACCGACGCTGATCAGCCCCCGCCATCTCCCTCGTCACCCTCCCATGCACTAAACACGCCTCAAACACCTGCCACTCTAGCTCCCACTTCGACGATCGTCCATCTGTCCATCCGTTCCCACTTGACCTCGGCTAACACGGATGGGGAGAAGCCGAAGAAGAAGAAGTCGCTACGGAGGAGAGGCGAAACCGAGGCCAGCGAGAGTACGGGCGCTGGGGCAGTCGATGAAGCAGAGGATGGTGCTGGCTGCTGCTGTGTTATTTGTTGATGGATGCTGGATGAAACGGCTGGACCAGTCGTTTCAGAGCTTGAGCTTTTATCGTCTCGGGGCTTATGATTACGACCTACTTACGACCTTCGGATTTTGTATTTTTACGGAGCACTCGGTGCATACTTAGCAGGGGACACTTTTTCGTTGTGCAGACTATGACTAGGTGTGGATCCGAGCCCTGGCACTTCTCCGTTCAGTAGCGTGGTTCTAGCTACTATTAGGTATCGTGCGCGCCTCAAGTTGATAGTCGCTAAACGGCTCGTCTCGGCTGATATACAGATAAAGACCACAATTGTTGCTATCACGCACTTACAGTAAATACATTCCGGAGGACTGGGTCGCCCAAGTCTTCATCTTAGAAGTTTGAGGAGGAAAGAAGTCTCAAGCCTCTTGTTGTGAGAGGCGCCGCTTGGAAAACAAGCCGAAAAGAGCTATTATGCAGTAGTTCATCTGAAGCGATTGGTCACTGGTGCTCATAACGGTCGCTGCTCAAGTTGTGAGCCCCTATCTGTCTTGATCGCGGCAGCCTTAAACCTTGCCGCGGCAAACGGCAACGTGACGAGCGCTCGTCTCGCAGCAGCTCCTTCAAATTTGTTATCATGGCTCACGAACGGGACCTGACACATCCACTGGACCCATCTTCTTCCGGTGCATCCACTTCCTCGCTCATGGATATAGATGGAGTGCCCCCGCGTCAAGATGGTACTCTCATAGATGTGGAACGCGGGGAACTTCCTCCAGACTCGGACCAATGTCTGTCCACTCCGTTGTCTCTCGCGGCTGAGTTGACGCCTATTTAGCGTCATTCCACAAGACGAGCGGCGGGAAATACACGAAGAGGATCAAGTACTACATCCCCGGGATCGCATGGATTCCAAACTACTCTATTTCCTAGTGTGTCACGTTCTGGCCTCTCTCCACGTCCGAATGTATCTCATGCATGCAGTCTCGGAGGGGATGTCCTTGCTGGACTCACCGTCGCATCCATGCTCATCCCGCAGTCCGTCAGCTATGCCACCTCACTGGCGCAAATGAGTCCACTTTCGGGACTGGTACGAGTGCCGAGCAGCACGGTTAACCTTCCGTCATAGCAACTAACTCTGCATCAGTTTTCCGCGTCGGTACCCGGTCTAGTTTACGCCTTTCTCGGGACTTGTCGGCAACTCAACGTCGCACCCGAAGCCGCACTCAGTCTGTTAGTCGGACAAGCCGTGGCCGACATCCTCAGCGACCATCCTAACGCCCACTCGGAGGAAGGAGAGGCGATCAGGATCGCAGTGGGCACGATCATCACCATGCAAGTAGGACTATTCGCCTTCTTACTCGGGTTCTTCCGGCTCGGATTCATCGATGTTGTGCTGAGCAGGGCGTTATTGCGGGGATTCATCAGCGCGATTGCAGTGGTGATCTTGACGGAACAGCTGGTGCCCATGTTCGGACTATCAGAACTCATGCGACAATACCACCCGGAATCTACTTTCGATAAAGCGCTGTTCCTGATCGAGCACGTCTTCCCGAGTGCGAACGTCAGAACGACGATTGTCAGCTTCTCGGCACTCGCTGTGCTGGTGGCGCTGAGAGCGATCAAGGCCGTCTTCCAGAAGTACTGGTGGATCTATCGTGTGCCGGAAGTACTCGTGGTCGTCATATTGTCGACGTTCCTGTGTTCAGAGTTCCGCTGGGACGAGGAAGGCGTTGCCATTCTTGGTGCCGTGCCCATCACCTCGATGGGTTCGTTCGTGCAGGTTCCGTTCCAGGCAGCCAACCTGAAATATCTGCGGCGGACGACATCCACTTCAATGTGAGTCGTCTTCGATTGGTGGTCTTGCGACTAGGTCATAACAGCTCCCAGTCTCATTGCAGTCGTTGGATTCCTCGACTCGATAGTTGCAGCCAAGCAGAACGCATCTCGCTTTGGCTACACCATCAGCCCCAACCGCGAACTCGTCGCTCTTGGTGCGGCCAATTTGACTGCATCTTTTGTGCCTGGCACCCTTCCCGCTTGGGGGTCTATCACGCGGTCCAAGATCAATGGCGACGTAGGTGGCCGAACCCAGATGGCGTCGATAGTGTGCTGCTTGGTTGTGCTTCTGGCGACGTTCTTCCTTCTTCCGTGGCTCTATTTCCTGCCTAAATGTGTTCTTTCCGCCATGTGAGTGCCATTGATCTGGTCTCGATCGCTGGTCTCATATTAGACACAGCATCTGTTTAGTCGTCTTTTCGCTCTTGCGCGAAGCTCCCCATGAAGTCCGATACTATGTCAAGTGAGTGAGACGCCGCCGACTTTCTTTTATCTCAATCCATCGAACAGGATGCGCGCTTGGGTTGACCTGGGACTAATGTCCATGACCTTTTTCGCTGCAATCATCTGGAACATCGAGGTTGGCATCTTGCTGAGTGTCGTCGCCTCGCTGTTGCTTGTCGTGCATCGGTCGTCCAAGACTCGCATGACCATTCTGGGACGGATCCCGGGAACAGATAGGTGGAAGCCCATCAGCGACAATCCCGAGGCAGAGGAAGATGTCCCTGGCGTTCTCATCGTGAGGATTCGAGAGAATTTAGACTTTGGTTTGTTCGGTTTATGACTGCTTGACTCGTTCTGATCATATCGTCAGCCAACACTGCTCAATTAAAAGGTCGGTGGGACTCCTTTGGGCATAGCAACCTTCCGACAGTATTTTAGAGCGACTGCGAAGACTAGAATTGTACGGATTGGGTAAAAGCCATCCATCAGAGGAGCCTCGGCGACAGCAGGCCACGATTCTTGTGTTCCATATGGCCGATGTTGAGACTTGCGATGCGTCGTGCGTGATGTTGTGTCCACTCCTTTCTTTCCCTGATTATATTCCCTCAGTGCGGTTGAAATGTTCCACGAACTTTGCTCTGAATACAAGGCGAGTCCAAGGAATTTATTCCGATCCACTTCTCATGATGTCTCACAGAACCGCCACGTCCGGATCTTCATTACGCACCTACAACCGCGGCCGCTAGCCATGTTCTCCAAAGTCGGCATATTCGATCTACTAGATGATGATGCGTTGCAAGTCAATGTTGCCGACGCCATGTCCAGGATCGAGGCTGGAGGCCATTCACGATTTGTCACTACCGTAGCATGAGGATGTAACTTAGTCCATCTTAATTGCTTCTTCCTGGATTTAAATGTCTCTCAATTTCATAATGTCAGCGCTCGTTCCAATCTCAGCTTAGTCGATGAATGACATATACAGTCAGTTTCCACGGATACACGAATAATCTCTGAGCCGGAGACTGGCCAGACGTATCGAGGAGCAACTCTCAGTGTGACGGTCAATCACGCAAACCGTGGCTCGTAATCAGCTTTTGACGGCTGCGGAGTCTGAAAGTTTCCCTGACTTCGTTGAACGCCGCCACCATGTCGTCCAACATCGAAGGACTGCTCACCTTCCTGGCGTACACCCTCAACACTCTCGAGACCACATTCTCCAAAATTCCAGGCTCAGCCGTGGTCGTACGATACGTGAAAAGTTCTCATCAGAACGACCCCGGGAGAACCCTTCTTGAGCTTGCACTCGCCGCATTCGCTATCTTCACCCTCCTCCAGTCGCGTACCCGTGCGGACAGAAGCGGGAAGCACTTCATTCAGTTTAGTGAGAAGGTGTGTTCAGTTTGTTTGACCAGATTCATTCACGTATTGGCGGTCAGGAAATCAGCGAACTGGTTGACGAATGGACCCCGGAGCCCCTTGCTGCCCCTCTCGATGCATACGAAGCCTCTGACCTCGCTGCTGTGCCTGTTATTGTTGGCCCGACCGGTCCCAAGCCTATCCTTGCGAAACAGCCAACCAAAGTATTCGCCAACCTTGCCAGCTATAATTTCACTGGATTGGCGGGGAAGGAAGTGATTAAGGAGCGGGCCATCGAGACTCTGAGGAAGTATGGGCTCGGGAGCTGTGGGCCTCCCGGTTTCTATGGAACTCTGGGTGCGTGTGCGAACTGCTCTGTTCTAGGATACTCCTAAACTTGACCAGATGTGCATATGAACTTTGAACGTGATCTCGCCGACTTTCTCGGCGCAGAGGCCGCCATCATCTACTCCCAGGGCTTTTCCACCGTCTCGTCCGTGATTCCCGCGTTCTGCAAACGTGGAGACATCATCGTTGCCGACCGAGGTGTCAATTTCGCGATTCAGAAGGGCATTCAGATCTCGCGTTCGACCGTGCGGTGGTTCGATCATAACGACCTTTCGAGCTTGGAGGAGGTCCTTGACTCTGTTGAAAAGGAGCGCAAAAAGCGTCGTGGGCCACTGACTCGTCGGTTCATCATTACCGAGGGTATCTTCGAGAAGGATGGTGCCATGACAGATTTGCCCAAGCTTATTGATCTCAAGTTCCGCAAGAAATGGCGTCTTATTCTTGACGAAAGCATCTCTTTCGGAACTGTCGGACGGACTGGACGCGGCTTGACAGAACTGTACAACGTACCGGCCGAGAAGGTCGACATGATTGTGGGCTCCATGGCAAACGGACTCTGTGCTGGGGGTGGATTTTGCGCTGGCTCGAAGATCGTTGTCGAGCATCAGCGCATCAACGGCCCGTCATTTGTGTTTTCTGCATCAATGCCGGCACTTCTCGCTGTCTCTGCGTCGGAGGGCATCGAGATCCTGCGTTCGACACCGTCCATACTTGAACGATTGCAAGTCAATGTTCGAGCCGCCCACGCAGTTTTGGATGACCTAGACTGTATCACGATACCCTCGCATCCTGTTTCACCCATCATCCACCTCTACCTGCGCCGGTCGGCGGTGGCTCATGTCGGCGGCGGACTGCTTCATCCGGCATCGGCTGCTGCGGTCCACACGAAGCCGTCGAACCCCACCTCCATTCTTCCTCGCGACGCCACCTCATGGGACTGGAACTCGTCTGCGGAAATACACGCAGAAGAGCGTACGCTCCAGCTCGTTGTAGACGAAGCCTTGAAGCGCGGGGTGATGCTTACGAGGGCGAAACGTCTTCGTGGGCAGGAGATGGTTGAAGCGCGCCCCAGCATCCGTCTAGCGCTCACCAGTGAACTGACACCAGACGAAGTGAAGAAAGCGTGCAAGGTCATTGCACAGGTCTTCAAAGACGTTGTCGGGAGGAGATGATTTTTATTTATAGAGTATATACTGACAGGGCCACCCCTTCTAATGATAGTGCACGGTTATTGATAAGAAGTACCCGATGTTGAAACCGGAAGAGTAACCGGAAGACGTGTCATCAATAATGACGTAAGGCACAACGCCTCATCCAAGTATGTCACAGCCGTAAGATGGCCGCCTTGTTTGCCCCGGCCTGAAATTAACTTTTAGGGAGGCATGGCGTCGTGCGCCCCCACGGGTCTCCGCTTTCCGATATCATGACCAGCCACACGACTACGATACTTGACGATGAGGATGACGCCCCCGACAAGCTTATGTCTGAAAAGAAGCCTCAGAGCCAACCTTCTCGACGTGAACTGCAGCTGGACAGCGGCGTCGAACGGGTGCGATTCCGTAAAAAGTGGTATCAGATCTGGGAGCCCAAACACCCCCCTCCCCCTCCGCCCGCCTCACTAGACGATGCGCCTATCAGCCCCTACGTCACTGCGAATATCTTCTCGCTGCTCACCTACACATGGATCACCCCGCTGATGGTCCTCGGGTACCAGCGCACGCTACAGGCATCTGATCTCTGGAAAATGGGCCCCGAGCAGGAGTCGGGGTATCTAACACAGAAGTTGGAGGAAGCGTGGGAGCGGCGCGTGCGTGCCGCAGCTGAGTTCAACGCGCGACTGGACAAAGGAGAGGTGCGGCCGGGTATCTTCAAGCGCATTGCATGGTCACTGCCCGGCCGGGACTCGGATGCCCTGGAGAAAGAGTGGCGTGAAAAGACTGCCAGGAAGGAGGCTAGTCTGGCTTGGGCGCTGAACGATGTGTTGGGGCACATGTTCTGGCGCGGAGGGCTGTTCAAAGTGGTCTGTGATACTTCACAACTCATGGGCCCCATCATCGTGAAAGCCCTCATCAACTTCGGCAAGGCCCGTGCGGCCGCCAAAGCTGCTGGAGAGCCCACAGACAGCATTGGACGAGGTATCGGGATGGCCATTGGCTTGCTGCTGATCATCTGCACAACGAGTATATGCCAGCATCAGGTATGTGCTGTTAGGTTTCGAGCAGTGTCTAGGTGTTCAATACCGGCAGTTCTTTTTCCGCTCCATGACCACCGGCATTTTGGCGCGCACCGCTTTGACCGGGCTTATCTATCAGCGAGCTGTGCATCTAACCCCTTCGGAGCGTCGTCGACTCCCAAACTCTGCGATTCTTAATCATGTCAGCACTGATGTCAGTCGCGTGGATGCCTGCGCTCAATGGTTCCATGCTGCCTGGACTGCGCCCATTCAAAGTGAGGAGCGCCTTGGACTATTCCGACGGGCAACTGATATATCTCCAGCGCTTGTTTGCCTTATCATCCTTCTGGTGGAGGTATGTTCTTGTCCGAGACCCATCCTGGTCCAGGGCTCATCGACTGTCAGCTCGGATACGCGGCCCTTGCTGGTTTTGCGCTGTTCTTGATCATTGTACCGCTGCAAGAACGCATCATGGCCTCGCAATTCAAATTGAGGAGATCTTCGATGAAGTTTACGGATGAGCGCGCCAGCGTCGTGCTTGAGACGCTGAGTAATGGGTCTTCGATCTGACTAGCAATGCTCCTACTGATCGTCACGCCAGGCGCTATGAGAGTGGTCAAATACTTTTGTTACGAAGGCAGCTTTCTTTCGCGGATTTTCTCCATCCGCAATCAGGAGCTGAATGGAATCAGACACATCCAACATTCTCAATCAGCCAAGTAGGTGCACTTCGTGCTCAGTGAGATCTTCCGTCCTGATGCCGTACAGTATTGCCATGGCTTTCTCCTTGCCAGTGATGGCAGCCACACTCGCCTTTGTGACCTACACTGAGACAAGCAAGACCTTCGATGTCGCTGTTGTGTTTGCTAGTTTCTCGCTCTTCAATGTGCGTGGTCCTCACTTGCAATCACTCCACGACCACTGATACTGTTTCAGCTACTTCGCCAGCCAATGATGTTCTTGCCGCGCGCGATGTCAGCGACGGCTGATGCTCGCAATGCTCTCGCGCGGCTCTCGATTGTGTTGCATGCGAGCTTGCGCAGTCAAGCGCCATTTCAAGTGGACGAGCAACAAGAGCTTGGTGTCCGCGTCGACGATGTGAGCTGGATCTGGGAAGGCGCGCCACCTGAGTCGGAAGAAGATGTCAAGAAGAAAAAGAAAAAGAAACAACCTGAAGATGCTGAGAAAAAAGATGATGATGAAGAACCGTTTCAACTCAGCAACATCACCATGCATATTCCCCGAGGAACTTTGGCCGCCGTCGTCGGCCGCGTTGGCAGCGGCAAGTCTAGTCTTTTGCAGGGTCTGATTGGAGAAATGCGGTGCCCAGATGAGCTCAAGGGTGGAGGATGGTCTTTTGGCGGTCGGGTGGCTTATTGTCCACAATCCGCATGGATCCAAAATGCGACTTTGGTGTGTCCTACCCCTGCAAATCAACACCTGGCATTGATCCCTACCAAGCGCGACAATGTTTATTTGGGCAGCCTTTCGATGAAGACAAGTATTGGAGCGTGATTGAGGATGCTTGCCTCCTACCTGATCTCAAGTTGCTGGCTGATGGTGATCTGACGGAAATGTGAGCTATGAAATAGGAAATCGCCGTCTGATCTTCAACTGACTGCGTTCAAGTGGTGAGAAAGGAATCAACTTATCTGGGGGACAGAAACAGCGTGTCAACATAGCCCGTGCTTTATACTACGGTGCTGACGTCGTGATCTTTGACGATCCTCTGTCCGCTGTTGATGCCAACGTGGGGAAGCTGCTCTTTCGTACTGCCATCCAAGGCCTTGTCGCCCAGGGCAAGACTGTAATTCTGGTCACACATGCTCTGCACTTTCTCTCTCAATGTGACTACATCTACACACTCGATAATGGCTCGATTGCCGGGGCTGGAACGCATGCCGAGTTGGTTGCTAAAGGCGGAGAGTTCGCTCGGCTAGATCAGGAGTTTGGTGGAGAAGCTCAAGAAGAGGAGCCGTCGGAGGAGGGAGGGCAGACCCAAGTTCAAGTCGTTACTGTTCAGGAGGCCAAGGACAAGGCAGCGAGAGCAAGTGCTACTGGCACAGGAAAGATTGAAGGCCGCCTGGTGGCCAAAGAGGTGCGAACCACCGGGGGCGTTGAGTGGAGTAGTAAGTGAGACCTGGCCGCCGATTGTGAGGAGCACTAATTCTCTTCTAGTCTACGGATACTACTCGAAGTCGGGTGGTCTCATCTTGACTGCACTCATTGCTGCTGCCGCCACGGTGATGCAAAGTGCTGCGATCGTGAATTCGTACTCGCTTGTGTGGTGGGAAAGCAAGTGAGTTCAATCGCTGTATGCGCACGCGTTTTGAAATATTGATGGCCCCAGCACATTTCACAAATCGAGGGGGTTCTATCAGGTGCTCTACGCGTTGACCGGGGTCGTGCAGACCATCTTCACATACCTCTTGGGACTCTTTCTCGATCTGTTCGCCGTTCAGGTGTCTAGAAATCTACATCGCGATGCCATTCTGAATGTCTTCCGGGCCCCCATGTCGTTCTTTGATACTACTGTAAGTGTACTTTGTGCAACGAGGTCGTCCCTGATTATCATATTTCAGCCCATGGGTCGGATCATCAGCATAGTATGCGTGTCCCAGTGCGCCACTGATCGAAACTGACGTGTGCCTCTAGTTCGGCAAGGACATAGACACCATCGACAATTCGTTGCCTATGTCCTTTCGAATGTGTAAGTCATGCGTGTATGTGGATGCTCTAAACGAGGGTTGAACGCTTTTTACAGTTCTCCTGGTGCTGGCAACCGTTGTCGGGTCTGTCGTTGTCATCACCGTCCTGGAACATTACTTCAGTAAGGGGCCGTCTGTCTTCGCGAACAAGCCCTTGCTCACCCATCATCCCCAGTCATCGCCGCCTTCTTCATTACTTTCGGATTTGCCTATTTTGCTCAATTTTACCGCGCGAGTGCCCTCGAGATGAAGCGCATCGATTCGCTTCTTCGCGGGATCCTCTACGCGCATTTGTCCGAGTCGCTCACGGGACTGCCCACAATCCGAAGTTATGGCGAGCTGGACCGCTTTGTGCAAGACAACAAGTACTACATCGATCTGGAAAACCGTGCGCTATTCTTGACGGTGACAAATCAACGTTGGCTTGCCGTGCGGTTGGATGCGCTGGGTTCGACGTTGACGTTCCTTGTCGGAATCCTCTGTGCAGTGGGGGTGTCAGGAATCAGTCCAGCGGAGATTGGGCTCATTCTGACGTACACTAGTGAGTGTCTTAGTCGGTTGGTTGTGCTCATGCTCATGGCCATATCAGTGTCTCTCACCCAAATGTTTTCGGTGACGACTCGGTTGTCTGCCGAAGTCGAGGTGAGTGGCCGCAATTCTACTTGCTGACAGCTTGAATCTGACGCTGGCCAGAATTACATGAACTCTGTCGAACGAGGTGTGTTTGTCTGCCGCACCTCACAATGAGCTGCCATTCAATTCTTGGGCAGTCGTCCAATATGCTCGAGGAGATATCGTACCTCGAGAAGCAGCCCACGAGAGCCTACCTGGAAACAAGCCGGCTCCAGAATGGCCTACGGCCGGAGCGGTGGAGTTCAAGAATGTCGTGATGGCTTACCGACCGGGACTGCCGAATGTTTTGCATGGGATCTCGCTTAATATTAGAGCGGGAGAGAAAATCGGTGTGGTTGGACGCACCGGTGCTGGCAAGTCGTCTTTGACGCTCTGTCTGCTGCGGATCGTGGAGTACTTGGGACAGATCCTCGTTGACGAGTTTGTGTTTCATGTTTCTGCGGCTCAGTTCCTGACATTTCATAGCGTCGACATCGCCAAGATTGGATTGACTGATCTGCGCTCCACCATTGCGATCATCCCTCAAGAGCCGACACTGTTCAGCGGCACGGTGCGGACAGCGCTCGATCCGTTTTCGAAATACGACGATGCCCGACTGTGGGATGCACTGAAGCGCTCCTATCTCGTCGAGTCGGAAGCCGGTCGACTTGCGCTCGACAGTGCAATCGAGGCTGACGGAGGCAACCTGAGTGTCGGCGAGCGAAGCCTGTTGTCGCTGGCCCGTGCTCTCGTGAAAGACTCGCGTGTGGTGATCCTCGACGAAGCCACCGCTTCGGTGGATCTCGAGACGGACGGCAAGATCCAGCGGACGATCCAGACCCAGTTTCGGGAAAAGACGCTCATATGCATCGCCCATCGACTGAGGACGATTATCTCGTACGACCGGATTCTCGGTGAGTGGTATTCAGCGAGGTCCTCAGTCGATCTGACCGCGACTATGTAGTCCTTGACGCCGGTCAGATTGCCGAGTTTGATTCTCCGCTTGCGTTGTTTCAGAACGAGTCCAGTTTGTTCCGCTCTCTGTGTGACAAGAGCAGTATTACAGCGACTGACATTGAGAAGGCTGCGCTGACTGAGGATTTGTAAATGTTGCTTATCTAGACATGTATGAGTTACCTATGGAATTTTAATGCTATATGAGTACGCTTGGTATCTGGACGAAAGGACAGATTCGACCTGTCGACGCTCAGGCCCGGAGCACGGAGCGCAGCGTGACATATCGTAAATTTTGGCCGTGTAGCGATAAATTCGTGCATCATTGTGGGGCGGCGATCCGGATTCATCAGGAGCCTACTGTTTGTGCGCGATCTTCGTCCTCGATACGAGACTCGGATTTGAAATGGGGAACATGACTCCCAACAGTGAGCGGTAAGTTGGTGGGTACAGTAGCCGCAGTGTGCTCACGTGACCGTGTTCTAGAACGAGAACCCAGGATGCTTGACATTTAGCACTGAGCCCTTGACATCGCCCACATTTACACAGCTCCGTGTCCTTTTCGGGCCACTGTCCGCTGCAATATCCTTTTCCCAACAGGCCACCATGCACGATACGTGCCGAATTTCCTCCGCGGAACCGACTATGAATTCCGCGGGACCCGCATCCTGCGAAAACATGCAGCCCAAGAAGCACGGAGATAGCCACTGGCAGCATTCCCGCATGCTGGACCTGGACGCGTGTCACGGCAATAATGAGGCTTGGAGCGCGCTCTCGACTGACTCAAACGCTGCATGGATGACGGGGAGGTGGCCATGGTAATGCTCGGTCATTCGATGTGATAGTCCGAACCGGGTATTTATTTCACTATTTTCGGCGATCCTTTTCACACCTATCATCGCCATGTTTGACCACCACCACCACCACATCTTGTTTTTCGGTGCAACAGGTATTTCAGACTGTATGAGCGCAGTGCACAGCAGGATGAATGATTCATTCAGGCTACATTGGAGGAACCGTATTCTCCAAGCTGCTCTCACATCCCAAGGCCGACGGATTCAAAATCACCGCGCTGGTTAGAGATGCAGCCAAAGCCGAAAAGCTGACTCGCACTGTCGGCAACGTCGAGAACATCGTGGTCCATCGGGGCTCCAATGGCGACTTGGATCTGCTGACCAAACTTGCGAAGGAGGCGGATGTGGTGTTCTCAGTGGTACGTTCGCCTTGGACGGACGGATGAGTCGAGCGCCGCTGACCTTGGAACGAAGGCGGACACAGTCGATGTCCAAGCAAAGCGGGCCATCCTGGCTGGATCCGAGGCACGATTCGAAGAAACCGGCAGGCCGGTGGTCGTCATTCACACAGTGAGCGCGCCCTTGTTGTGCCCTGAAACCGTATGCTGACACACATCTCAGTCGGAGCAGGTGATCTCGTTTGTCATCTCCTGATTTCAAAGTTCAACGAAGGACAGGCGCGATCGCAGACTGCACGGTTAACGGCGGACACACCAGTTCTCTTGTGTTTGATGATCTGGACGACGCCCAAATGTCCGCTATTCAGCCGACCCAAATCCATCGCGCCGTAGATCTCGAATTCTTGGCTGCTGACGAACAAGGTTTGTCCTTCTGTTGGACATCCTAAGCTGCGTCCAGAAAATTCAACTCACACAGGCTACATCAAAGTTATATTATCCTGCCGACGACGGTGTACGGCATCCCACATGGCCTGCTTGTCAATGCGGGGATCCAGAATAGGCAAAACTCGGTCTTGTCTTACCTCGTCAGCTTGTCAATGACGCGTGGCCAAGGCGGGATGGTCGGTCAAGGGAAGAACATGTGGCACAACGTGGAATTGAATGAATGTCAGTCGGCTCTGGTCCATGCACGCGCGAGGATGATTGACTGATCTCTCTTTCAGTGGGTGATCTGTTCATGGTGTTGTTTGACGCGGCGATCTCGAATCCCGATAGCACACCGCACGGCCAGTCCGGACTTTACTTTGCGGAGAACGGGAGCCACGTGCTGGAGGATCTGTGCGCCGTGATCTCCCAGGTCCTGTATGAACATGGAAAAGGACAGGCTCCAGCGCCAACATCATTCAGCGAGGATGAGCTCGATGCTGCTGAGTGGGGCTTCCTTGCAGCCTTGATTGGGTCCGATGCCCGATGCAGGGCGAGAAAAGGACGTGCTCTGGGCTGGAAACCCACTAAAACAACCGCAGACTTCCTAGAAAATGCTAGAGCAGTCACAGAACGTTTGCTAATGAACGGTTATGTTTGAGCTGATGCTGGACAGCCGCGCGTGCCATATATGCAGGGAAATGGTCGGTCCGTCGTTGCTTGCTTTGAGATATTCCTCGAGATACAACATATGCAATGTACATATCGTGTCCGTACGTATACATGAGCAGTCCTAGGATTACGCATCAGTTACAGTGGAACACGCCCAATGGGTAGAAAGAAAGATCAGAAAAAAGGCAATAGAAGTTTGTCTCCATAAGAGTCAGAACAGGTCTGTATGTCGTTTCATCAGACGTAGTCAAAGATGTCGTACACACCTTTCTTATAGATACAATCAACCTCCGCTCTTCAAGTCATCAAGTCTGTAACAAAGAGGACAGTAAGCATCTGCAGCAACTCGATGCAGACAAAAAAGATCAGAAAAAAGGCAATATTCGTTTGTCCTCAAACTCCGAGAGTCGGAACAGGTCTGAATGTTTTCGTCATGTTATGACCAAGGACTGAACGCACCAAAAGTGGGATGTCGGCGGCATGGCCGTGGCAACGGGGCGCCATTTCAGACGCGTTGGAGCCGATTCACCATACACCCAGTCAGCCTCATCTTCCTCTGGTTCGCCGTCACAGTCCTCCACATACACACCCACACCACCATCACTTGGTTCCACAAGTATCTCCACACCTGCAGGCGCGCGCTCTTGTAATTGAAGCTTCCGCAATGCAACGATCAGGTCATCCGCTAATGGAATTGCGTTGGGTGGATCTTCGCGGATGGGCTCCCAACCGACGGGCGGCGATCCGGGGGGTGAAATGAGGAAGTTCTTCTCCAGATCTGGAGGGCGGAGATAGTTGACATCGGGAATAGAAGAGTCATTGTCGGAGGTTGGAAGCAAGGGATTGGGATCTGCACGGAAAACGCGAAGTGTGATTTGGTCGCTGCGGGACGCGTAGGTGAGCGTCTAGAAGCAGCCGAGGAAGATACAGGTGCATACCGACCGTCCGTTTCATCAAGAACGATAGGGTCCGAGTGAATCTTTGCGGATTCAGCGTCGTCTTCGCGCGTATAGACGATAAGGATACGACTGAATCCAGGGAGCGGAACCCATCGATTTATCTCGCCATATGTTGAGAAGTGGGAGCGGAGAACATCGAGGAGACGTGGCTCGAAGAAAGTCTTGGGTAGTGAGGTGACAGCCAAAGTGTTAGTTCGCTGGACATCTTCCGCTGCAGTGGTAGAGTCGGACGATAAAAGGGAAACCATTATCCAGGTCAGTTCAAACTTAAAAACGCATATCTTGTATTCAAATGTTTGCTCTGATGAGCACGTGAGGGACAGAAGCGCGATCACGTGTGCCACCTCCAACTCACCTTACGTTTGCGTAAGTTGAAGTCTGGAAGCGCCCAAGAGTTGAGCGAATGATGCAGTAACACAAATGCGTGCACATGTAGGACAGTAAGAGTGAGATTAATAGGCTAAGTCGAAGTCGAGGCCCCTGATTGGACATTTGATCATCACAACGATGGCAGTGAGCCGGAAATGATCCGCACGCAGGATTACCTGTCCCCCACTCTTCCCCCATGTCTGCTGGGCAGCTCACCTTGCTGGAGCAGTACCGGGTTGCTTCTTCCTCTGACCTCAGTCGGTTCTAAATGTCATAGTAAACGGTCCCTCTTGTTTTGTCAGACACTGTGACTTTCACTCACTTCTGCCTTTTACAGCTCCTCCCTTCACATTCGACACGAATTCGCGTTCAGAGCTCATTGGCCTCCTTTTGAAGGATATCAAATCATCCAGAATTCTACCTAGGGGTTTGTAGACGTCGTACGCCTCTCTACTGAATTGAACACATTCACAGACAACACACTTGCACTGCTTACACTTAAGACCTTGAGTAAGACTGCTGCTGGCTCGGAAACCCTCGGAACTGCTACGAATCTGAGCGCCCTTCTTGAAATCGCACTCAGCCTACAAGAGGAGGTAGCGGCATCAGGAGAGGCTTTGAGATGCATTGGAAACGCCTTATTAGTTGAGCCTGCACGAGCAATGTTCTTGTCGAAGGAAGTGAACGGGCCCGACACCTGTGTGCATCTTCTGTCGGTTCGTATTGTCGGAACGTTGCTTTCTCGTGTATCTAAGGCTGATTGTATCCAGAAAGCCACTAACGCGGAACAAATATCTATCCTGGCTCGCATCCTTCACTTATCCACTGCCCATCCTTCACCCTTCATCGTATCCTTGGTCGAGGGCGACCAGCAAAGCCACCCTTTTGTCGATATGGTTCGCGGGAAACTCGACCTCTTAGTAATCAGTCTTCTGTCTGGCATGAAGATGGCTCGAGAAGCGATGGTCGACGTCCTCAAGTTTGCGTCCAACGTGATCATACACTATCCTAAACTGGCAGGTGCCCCGGTCGTCGGGGAGACCTGGAATCCCAAGTTAGATCTGTGTGTAATCTACATGCGCCGAGTGTCTAGGTCCCTGATCCGTTCAAAGCATACTACCGCCAATATTGCGAGTGTTCCATACATTACCACCGACCTTCCCTGCTCCGATATCACCTCCACTCACTCAAGTATTACAAGCCCTGATAAATATTCCTGTCAATCCAGCGTTGCGATCGGAATGGTATGGTGGGTCGATGGAGCTCACCGGATCGTCTTCACAACAGTCTGTCCCCACGCCAAGCACTCTCAAGGCTCGAAGGAACACTTTCTCAGGGTCCAGTTGGACGCAGACTCCCGTGCGAAGTCCGCAAGACACATTGCTCCGGGCGCATGATTTGCTCGAAAAGGCTCTTGCACACTACTTTCCGGATGTCACCCAGGCAGATGATATCGCTGTCCAAGGAAAAGTCAAAGCGGAGGGAATCCTGGACTCTCTGGACGACGAACTATCACCGCTCATCGTGTTGATCATTCGATTATGTCAAGCCGATGAGACTTCCCGGTCACGGACACGCGAATGGCTTATTCCAGCCAACCTAGACAGAAGTGCGGCGGCCGGTACTCTGGAGATGCGGTCGGACCTGCTCGGACGATGTCTCCGGTTGATGTCGAGTGTTCATTTCACACGATTGAAGGAAACTATCGGGGAGATGCTGTTTGTTGTCTGCGATTCGGATTCATCTGTGATGCAGCCTCTCTTGGCCACAGAAATGTGGTTGGATTTTTGTCTAAGAAGGGGATAGGCGATACGGACGTTGAGGCGAAAGAGGAATACGATGTTGGTGACGGTGCAGGAATCGGCCCTGCTGGTGCTAGTTCAAATGGCAAAAAAGTGCGTAGGAAGTGGTCACCTGAGGAGACGCAGATGCTGGTTGACGGGTGTAATATCGTGCGTTCAATTCATCTCTGGTGTCGTATGCTGTGTTCAATGCAACGAACTAGCATGGCGTTGGAAATTGGAAGGCTATCCTATCTGACCCAAATCTGACCTTCTCAAGTCGCTCCCCAGTCGATCTAAAAGACAGGTTGGTCGAGACGATCATGCGATGTACGATGCACTGAACTGAACCAGGTTCCGTACATACTTCCCTGAAGCCTATAGAACCCATTATCCTAACGCACGCACACATCTCCCTCCCTCGATCGCTCGAGCCCGTGCCCGATCAACTTCGCCCTCCGCCCTGGCATCGTCATCTTCATTGGACCCGATTTCCCCTACCAAGGCCAAAGCCAACCGGTCGACGCATCCTGATGGGACACCTCTGTTTCCGTTGCCAACACCGTCTCATCCACGTCGCCGGCCATTCACCCAAGAAGAAGACAACGCACTTCTAGCGGGATTCCGTAAACATGGCGCGGCATGGGCGGTGATCGCCAAGGATGCGCCTGTTTTCGCAGTTACTGGCAGAAGAAGTATGGATCTGAGAGACCGATTCAGGAATGCGTGGCCCGGCGAATACGAGCGTGCAGGCTACAAAGCTAGGCCTCGGGCTGCTCGCAAGAAAGACAACGCCGATGCTGTGGTGAAAGACGATGAAACCCAGCCACCAGAGCGCGGCCGAGGTCGAATCGGCAGATCCCACACGGATGATGGTCCGGTGCCCCCGCGAATCGCAGCGCTGAGTGCAGGACCTAGTGCCAGTGCCGGCGGAGGTCCGGTTCGGAGACGCCAGCGGGCGCATACTAGTCAGGGATTCCAGACGACATCCATGCCAGCCAGTGCCGCGACATCCGATGACGAAGGGGTGATGGGAAATGCTCACCTTATGAGCTTTGGCCGGGGTGGCGAATTTGGGTTCAGCTTCGCCATGCCGGCCACTGAGGAGTCGGCTTTGGTGGGTGGGATGCATAAACTTGATGTCGCATCGCCGGCCAATGCGAGCGAGCAAGACGAAGCAATGCCTGATGTGACTCCTTCGCCGTTGTCCTCTCCGCCATCGCTATCGTCTCCAGCAGCGGGGCTAGCCCCGAGCAAACTGCAGGCCCAGATATTACATCAGCAGCAGGTGCACAATCTCGGTGCAATGCAGCAGCCAGGAGAGACCATCGGGCGCAGTGCATGGGGAACGCAGGATTGGTTAAGTGCAAATCCAAGGCTAGATCCATCGTACGGTACAGGGACGTTCCGTTCGCCGTTTTCTCCGTGGGACACGAGCGACACTACGGGTGATGCCAGCGGACCATTCTTCGACGTGTCTCACAGCGTCCTAGAGCGATATGATCTTGCACCTGCGCATCACGTGCATCATCATCATCACCACAGTCCAGGGCAGTCGGCAGCCTCCACGCCCCATGGATTCTCGTCACCGGCTCTGTCTTTCCATTCTGCGTCACTGTCACTCAGCGATGTGCACACATCGAGTGAAACCGGAACCGTGGATGGGGACTGGGACAGTGTGTTCGATGAACAGCTTTCAAACACCGGAGAGTACGAATCTGAGCCGGGAGGAGGAACGTCGAGTTGGGGCGGTGGGTTCCGGGGGTTCACGCACCACGTGAATACAGCAGGGGATCTTATATTCGGGGCCAGGACTCATCAGCCACCGTGGAGTGGCTTTGACTTGTGGACCCGGCCCGGGGCCTAGCTGGGATCGCTGA